TGGTGGTTGGGGCTGGAGGCTTGGTGAGATCCAGGCTCCCAGTTACCATTATTGGTAAGACTGTTTCCTAGATAGTGATGCCCTAATTGCATTTTTATTATTATTTTTTTTTGGTACTGGGGGAATCAAACTCGGGACCTTGTGCTTGTGAGACAGGCGCCGGAACCACTGGGCTAAATCTCTCACCACCACCCCCCCACTGCATTTTTAAATTTAACTTTGACTTACAGTTCTTAAGCTTTCTTTAATAAACATGCTTGTCTTTAGAAATAAGAATAAATAAATATCGTTAAGAAAAAATAGATCACGCCCGGCTAGCGGGCTCCAGCGCCTGTGGTTGGATCGCCACACACAGAGGCCCTGTCCACTGTGGCGAGCGGGGTTTGTTGTGGGGAAAGTCCTCCCGCGGATTAGGAGTTGGGAAGGGTTCGCCTGTCGGGTCAGACTGCTACACTGCCCGGTCTGCTTGGGACACCCGCCTGCTCTCCCTGTCACCTCTGCACTGCTTACTCCAGTCCCAGGCACCTGTCTCCCGCTGAGTCCAGTGTCCCGCGTGCCCCTGCTTCCGTGTACCCCAGATGGGCAGTCTGGGGCTGGCGGCCCCTGCCTGGTACGCAGGCCTGGGAAGAGGGAAAGCGCTCAATTCCGGTGTTGTTCCAGGGTCAGAGTCTGGCCCTGAGGGACAGCAGTCATGCAGGGGTCTGGGAGCTTGGAGGGGCCAACACCAGTTCTTCTGGGCGATCTTTCCATTATGTCTCTGATCTGTTTGAAACAAGCTGTTTTCCCAAGAGGTGTTATTTTCTAGCACATAGAAAAGCTCTTCCTCTGAACTTCCTACAGTGGCTTGTGTAAAAAAGAGACACACTGCTGGGTGTGGTAGCACACGCCTGTGATCCCAGCATTCAGGAGGCTGAGGCCGGAGGATCTTCGAGTAAGAGGTCAGCCTGGCCTACACAGACCCTGTCTCAAAAAAAAAACAAAACAAAGATGGGCCGGGGATTTAGCTCGGTGGTTCTGCCACCTGCCTGGAATGCGCAAGTCCGGAGTTTGATCCCTGGTACCAAAACAAAACAAAAAGGCATTTAGGCTCAGACATGTTTTGTGGACAGGATTAGCACATTCCCTCCTGCCACGGGTGGCACCATCACGACTGTCCCCTTGGGCATGGCAGTCACGCACGCAGGCACGGCCCCGTCCCATCCCGAAGGCCCACTTTCCTGGTGTTCAGGAAGATGCTTCCAACTTTGGTCCTCATGACTGGGAAAATGCCCACTTTGTAAAACTGGCTTTCCTTCCCCTGCAGGGCAGAACCCAGTCCCTTTGCCCGAAATGGCCTGCACCCAACTCCTGACTCTCCCTGTGGAATCCCCTGCCTTTTGTTCTCTGTTTCAGTCTACCAAACTGCTTGTAATTTCTGAAACCTGCCCTGCCCCTCACTGTTCTCCTGCCCTCTCCTTCCGGAGCACACAGCCCAGCTTCTCTGGGTTCTCACCTGCTCACCCCGGGGAGCCGGGTTCACTGCCTCACTCTTCCTAACCAGCTGGCTCTCAGGAGGCCTCGACCTTGTGGGTTATGAGAGTGGAAGGTGAGGCTCTAACAGTGGCAGAAAAAGTCCAAGACTTGGAGCAACAATGTTATCAATGCCATCATCTTCGGAAATCAGACCGCATCTGTCTGTGAGGGGGTCCTGCCTGGGCCTGGACCTCCTTGGGGCCCTTCCAGGCCTTTGGAGAGAGCTCGGCTGGGACGACAGAGCCCTTCTCCTCAGCCTTGTTAAATTTGCTTATTTGCTGGGCTGATGCAGGACTTTGTAGAGAAGGTTCATGGCCTGGGGCAGCTCTCTAGGCTCCTTTCTGCTAAGCTGCTTTCATTCTTTAATCTTGAATATAATTACAGTACCCTTTAAGTGCTGGGCCAGTTAAAATTGGAATGGGGTTGCCATTGATGACTGGATTCCTGATTCTCGTTATTGCCTTTCATCCCTTATTTTTTATATATAGTGCTTAAAGCCTTATTTAAAAAAAATTACACAGCTAGCATGCACTCATATTCATTAAAAAAATTATACTGTGCTCACTCTGGAGGCTGGAGCCCAGATCACAAGTTTGAAGCCAGCCTGAACTACATAGTGAGCCCTGTCTCAAAAAACACAAAGCAAGGGGGCCGGGGATTTAGCTCAGTGGTTACGCCACCTGCCTTGCAAGCGCAAGGACCCAAGTTCGATCCCCAGTACCAAAAAAAAAACACCACAAAGCAAGAGGCCGGGGATGTAGCTCAGTGGTTCTGTTGCTTCGAAAGCTCAAGGTCTTGAGTTTGATCCCCAGTACCAAAAAAAAAAATGTCTAGAGACTAAAAATTTAAAGTTACACAGACAATTCCTGTGTGTATGCAGGTGTATTCATATAAATACCCAGGTAAATTTTTTTTTTTTTTTGCAGTACTAGGGATCAAACCCAGGACCATGTACAAGCTCCTGGTTTTATAGCATATGGTGAGAATTACAGTCCCAGTTTGTTCTTTGGTTATGTCAGGTCATCCACTCACTGATTGCTCCTGGCCGCCCCCGCTTACCCTCACCCTCAGAACAGCTGCTGTAACTCTGTCCATGACTTTTCGCTGTGAGACTGTGCGGAACTCTGCCAGGCAGGTGGTTGGTGCTGTTTTCTTGGTTGGTTTTTTTTTTTTTTTTTTTTTGGTACTGGGGATCGAACTCGGGCCTTGCTCTTGGGAGGCAGGCGGTAGAACCGCTGAGCTAAACCCCCGGCTTGGTGCTGTTTTCTTCTTGGTTCTTTGGCCAAGCTCAGTGCTATATAGGTGATCGAGCATGTTGTTTATAGTGTCCGGGAACAGTCCCGTAAGATGTGTTAATGTCACAGTGTAGATGAGGAACCGAATCTATTCAAGCTCTCATGAGAATGGCGGCTTTCCGGGGAGGCAGACCCCGACCTTTCAAAGTTCTGTCTTCCTGCCCAGCCGTGTGCCCTAAGCCCTTTCTTTGGCTTCCCTCTGGATCCATGAACAGCATGTCTCAGGCTGTCTTTGGGGAAGGTCTGCCGGTTTATTTCCCCCAATCTGCTGCAAATCAGTACTTTTGTATAGCATGAGTTACTGGAGAAATTAAATGTGAAAAGAGAATATAGAAAGTGCAGCCTGTATGTAGTAGCAGATTCAAAATTACTTGGTCAGATTACTCTAAATAGGTGTGAGTGCTTACTGTGAATTTCTGTACTTCCCAATAGGCCAGTACACTCCATGTGGGCCAGCGCTGGTCCTTGATGGTGTCATAGGAGGAGGGCAAGAACTGGGCTTTGTCTGTTGCTGTTTTACTGTGAAAGATTTTAAACACGTGTGGAGGTAGGGGGATAATACACAAAATCCCACATTCCTGTCACCCACCTTCAGCAGTGGACACCTTTCCGGTTAGTCTTGTCTCATCATGTCACAAACTTTCTCTTGCCAAACTATTATCTTGAAGGAAGTCCCACCCTTTATTTTATTTATGAATTTCCTTATATTTTAAGTGTGGATCTCCAAAAGATAGTGACCTGAAAACATAATTACACTGATGTCACACCTAAAAATCAACAACAGTTTCTTACTGTCATCAGATGTGCTATCCCAGCTTGTTCATAAATGGCATTTTATGGCTGATTTCCTCAAATAGGAAATAGCCTTTCCCTGATTTTATTTATTTATTGTGTGGTGCTGGGAATTGAAATGAGGGCCTTGTGTGCTTCACCACTGAGCTGTGTTCATTTATTGCTTGATGGCTGGTGTTCATCAGCTCCTGTGTGTTGTGTTACCCTTGCCATCTTGGTATAAATCTCACTTGGTTGTGAGGTATAATTCTTTTTTTTTTTTGGTACCGGGCATCGAACTCGGGTCCTTGTGCTTGCGCAGCAGGCGGCAAAACCACTGAGCTAAATCCCCAATGCTATAATTCTTTTTTTTTTTCCTTCTGGTACTGGGGATTGAACTTGGGACCTTGTGCTTTCAAGGAAGGTGTGGTACCACTGAGCTAAATCCCTGGCCCCATATAATTCTTTTAATATGTTTTTGGATTCTGTTTGTTTTGTTAAGAGACAGTCTCACTATATTCCATAGGCTGCCCTTCAACTCCTGGGCTCAAGGGATCCTCCTGCCTCAGCCTTCCTAGTAGCTGGGACCATAGGTTTCACCACCATACCTGGCATTGGCTATATTTTATTGACAGTTGATGCATCTGTGCTCCTAAGGGATATTGGTCTGCAGTTTCTCATGTCTAGATTCCATATCTGAATAATGCTGGCCTCACAAATCAAAGGATGTGCCCTCTTTCAGTGTTTTAGAAGGGTTTGAGAAGCATAGGGGCCGATTCTGAAGAAGTGACTTGGTTGTAGCTTTTGTGCCAGCTGTGTGTGGCCTTAATCAGGTTTTTTTTACTTCATCTAATCCGACACCTAGTTGGATCAGTGCTTTTATTGAGTGCTGGTGTGCGCTTGGTGCGTGTACTGGGATCTAATGTGTGGAAAGGTGCTTGCTTGCATCATAACATTGGACTCGGGAGCTCTCCTTGAATGTACCACACCACAGGCTCCACCGGGGTTTTTTTGTTTTTGTTTTTGTTTTTGAGGCAGGGTTTTTCTTTATAGTTCAGGCTGGCCCTGAACTCACTGTGTAGTCCAGGCTGGCCTGGAACTTGCAGCGATCCCCCTGCCTCAGCCTCCCGAGTGCTGGGATTACAGATGTGTACCACCATGGCCGGCTCTACTGGATTATTTGATGATTCCTCTTTCACTCTGCCTTTACTGAAGCAATTCCTCTGTCAGTAGAGAATATCTGAGGTCTGGAAGTTTAAAGCGCCTGCCTAAGGTGTTTAAGTGCTTGGTGTCAGGACGGAGGAACCAGAAACCTCGAAGCTAAGCCTGTTTGCCCAGTGTCTTCGGTACACACACTACACACACTGGCCTTCCTAGGATTGGCCAACCTGGTAGTGACCCCACCATCTCCGCTCTCTGCAGGTTCTTCGTGCTGACCTCCCTCCGCCTTGTGTTTCTGCTTGCATTTGGCTTGATGATCATCGTCTGTATCGATCAGTGGAAGAACAAAATCTGGCCTGAAATAAAAGGTGAGTTTGGTCACATTGAAAAAATGAACTGGAGGGCCGGGGATTTAGCTCAGTGGTTTCACTGCCTGCTGCGCAAGCGCAAGGCCCCGAGTTCCATCCCTGGTACCAACCCGCCCCCCCCCAAAATGAACCGGAAATGGCCTTTTCTGTCACTTTGGCTTTCATTTGTGGGGTTCTGAGGGCACGTGGAATGGGAGGCTGCCCTTTGTGTTTGAGTTGTTTGCCCAGGAGACACTTGAAAGGCTGCTCCCCATCTTCGCTCCTCAGAGTCAGACCCCGCCTTTCTCCTGTCACTGAGCTCGGGGACCTGAGACGGCGGCCTCAGGAATCGTACTCCTTAATGATTTTTTCAAATCCTAGCACATGCCACCTCTTTACTGAGGTAACATTGGGTTACCGCTCAAGAATTTCTTTTAAATCCTGGACATGATGGCACATGCTGGTAGTCTCAGCTATGTTGGAGGCTGAGGCTGGTGGATTGTGGGTTTGAGCCCAGCCTGGGCAACATAGTGAGACCTTGTCTTTAAAAAAAAATGTTCATTTTTGGTCAGCCATGATGGCCCACACCTGTGATCTCAGTACTTGGGAGGCTGAGGCAGGAGGACCGCTGTGAGTTCAAGGCTAGCTTAGGCTACATAATGAGGTCAAACCCAGCCTGAACTACATAGCGAGACCTTGTCTCAAGATTTAAAAAAATTTTTTTTTCTTTTAAATGGCTTATTTGCAAAGCACTAGGCTAAGCATTAATGTCTATGGAAGGTACCCTAAGATATGGTTTCTTTTTTCAGAGATACACATAAATAAAAATTAAATGACAGTTACTGAAGAATAGTGGAGATGTCCCAGTGCCTCTGTGACTGATACTTTCACAGATTTTGCCCCTAGCACAGCCTCAAGTGAAGCAGAAGCGGGTGGGGAGCAGAGCGGGCCTCTCAGCCGGCCAGCAGCAGCCTGACTGGGTTGAGGAGCCACCGCTCAGAGCGTTTGGTGGGAAGGCAGAGGTCACGTGTGTGTGCATGCGCGTGCGTGTGCGCATGTGCGCCAGGGCCGAGAATGGCCAAGATATGCTATATCTATTGCTGCATCCATTCTGGGACCGTGCCAGTCCCCCAGATGAATGTCACAATTCTACATTACAAATATGCGCTCCAGGGCCGGGGATTTAGCTCAGTGGTGCAAGGTCCCGAGTTCGATTCCTGGTACCAAAAACAAAAAACAAAAACAAATACATGCTGCTAGGAAAACAAAGGGCTCATGAAGGGAATGCCAGGAGATAAAACTGAAAGTCTGGTGGGATTAGATTTCGTAAGGCTCCAAAGTCAGACTTCCTCTCATGGGTGTGGGGTGGTTCCTGGGGCTGTAAAGTGAGCTGTGTGCTGAGCCACCGCGCAGGTTGATTTGGTAGCCTCTCAGGACGGCGAGGAGGGAGGAGCAGGAGGCCGGAGGCCCTGGTAGGAGACTGCAGCAGTGTCCTAGCAGGAATAGTCTGACACATGTCAGTGTCAAGGTGCTGGCGGCCTGCAGGCCGGGCGGGACACAGCTTCCAGATACATTCCCGTTGTGTTTATACAGACGTCCGGGGAGCCGTGTGGTTTCTCAGCCTCTCGTGGCTAGTGAACAGCAAGAGGCTCTCCACCATGGGGGAGCGGTGAGTAGCAGGTCACTCAGAGCAGGCAGCTCTAGGCTGGTGGGCTCATGGCCCGGTGCACAAGGCAGAGCAGCCAGATTCCTCAGGGACAGGATGGACCGTCTCCGTGTACCCCATGGCTTTCAGCTGAGGTGATTCAGGGGCTCTGGCGGCCCACTGGGAAACAAGCCCTCCCAAGGAGAGAGGAGGCACAGCCCGGCCCCCGGTCCACAGCACCCTAACTCTGGCGTACAACACGGTATCTCTTTTTATTGACTATTACTGTTTCCTTTTCCCCCAACTTATTAAAACACGAGCTGCCAGACCAGCAGCCTAACATTTTCATGTTGTTTTTCCTACCAACTAATGCTGGTGTTTGTTTTAATACTGTAGTGCCAAGACCCAACGCGTTGGACAATGAGAGGTATGGAACGCTAATTGAATCCATTTCTGTTGCTCTGATTCTCTTGCAATGTTCTGGTTCCATGTTGTTAACCACACGCTGTGGCCATACAGCTTGAGCTGAGAACCTGGTCTCTTCCAAACAGTCATTTTAACAAACCCTAAAGTTGGGGTACCAGTATGTGTGCGGAGATGGCCGCTGTCTTCTGATCTTTATACAAGAAGCTTCTGAAAAAGAAGTATTAAGTGCTCTGGAGCCTGACAGGCCAGGGAATTAGCTGCTTTATTCAGCCCTCGTGTAAAAACTCAGGGGCAGCGAACTTCCTTTGCCTCCTGGCTTATGTACCGGTCACTTAGTGTTTTCTGTGACCTCTGGCTATTTAAAGTTTCTGGCCAGAAAACACATTGGTTCCTGGCATCAGAAGCCAATGCCAAAGATTCTTCTGTGTGCACTGCTCCTGCCTGCATTTCTCAGCTCACCCACCCCATTGGTTGGGTGCGCTGTGCTTTACCCGCCCCTGGTGGCTCCCCGAAGGGCCACTTCCCTGTGCTCCATGGTCCCAGTCCCAGTGGATGGCAGTGGTGTGAGGGCGGGGACCGCCGTTGCGCTGAGGTGTGCACATGAGGATGGGGCTGCTTGCTCACCGGGCGGAGTAGTGGGAACACGCTTGCCCTCCCAGGCCCTAAACTGAAGCCTCAGCCTGGTGAGCCAGAAGGGAGCCAAGCTTCACCCCAAAGCACCCAGGAGTGGCCATGGCCCAGCCCCATCAAAACCCGGAAGCGGTGCTGTGTGCACAGCGGCACGGGGGAGCCCCAGTGCCCGCTGTTTACGACTCCCCTTCTCTCTCCCACAGCTGGGGCTTTGTGCACCCTCGGTTGCTCAGCGTGCCCGAGCTCTGCCACCATGTAGCTGAAGCCTGGGTTAGTGGGACCATTTTCATAAGGAATCTTTTGCTTTTCAAAAAGCAAAACCCAGGCAAGGTAAGAGTCTTCCCTTTTCACGTTCATCTCTGGCCCCTCAGTTCAGCAGGCTAGACTGGAGCAAGCCCTTGACTGCATGCCTGTACTCAGGAAAGGCAAGATCGCTGGGCTGGAAACGGAGGCTGTGGGCAGGGCCGCGAACAGCTGTTTGGATCGGAGAGGCGCTTGCCGAGACCCTTGCCTTTAGTTTTCGTTTGTTTCCGTGGCAGTGCTGGGGTGAAGCCCTAGGCCCTCCGTGTGCTAGGTACGTGCTCTGCCGCTGAGCTCAGCCCGCCCTCACCGAGTTGGCCATTTTCCTACCCAGAGATGGGAAAGAAAGCTTGCACGTGTGCTTCTGTGTCCTAGTAAACTGTGACAGGTTGTTGGATTTTAGGTTGGTGTTTTCTTAAAATCCCCACCGCCAACACTTGCTTTCCAAGTGGATTTTTTGGCTAAGTCCTATTCATGCCAGCTTCCCGGCACGAAAGGTGCACCTGTGTGGGGTCAGCCATGGAGAAGAGCTGGGGAAGGGCCCGCCCGCCTTGGCGCCCAGCCCAGCCGGGCCCCTGCCGCGGCGGGAACGAATGCCGCTTCTTGCCTTCCCAGTTCTGCCTGCTGAGCTGCGGGGCCCTCACCTTCCTGGCTGCCTTGGGCCGCTACATCCCTGGGCTCCTGCTGTCCTACCTGATGCGTGAGTGTGGGGTCTATTTGGGTCACATGCTGTAGCCGCTCCTACATTTCCCAGCCACAGCCGACCCTGTGTGTAGGGAGCGGCCGGTGCTGTCCTGGGCCCGCGGAAAATGGCTTTCTCCTACTTTTCTGACCTGTTCAGTGCCATGGAAATGTGCTCTCATCCGCAGCAGGCGTTCCCTGTCCGAAGTCCACTTGTCTCTCACCTGTTAGGAGGCCCTGGGGATCTTTCCTTGGGCCTCCCCGTAATGCTCTGCTATATCCCCAGCCCAAGGCCATTTCCTACCAGGTCAGGGTTACAACCCTATGAGGGACCACTCCACTCACTCCCATGGCATTCCTGGCGACAAATAACTGCCCACCGCTATTTATGGAGGGAATTTTCAGGGTTCCTCTACTAGGTTCTCTTTCCGGGGAGCACCCTTCCCCAAGTACACTGTGTCCTTTAGTCACTTCCTGTCGGGCTGGAGGAACTGAGTAGTTCAGCTATGGCTGTCACCTCGTACCCTGGCCCATGGCTCGGTGGCACCCATGTGCAAGTGACTGCACCAGCCTGGTTCTTTGTGGACTGTCAGCTGTGTGCTGCCACCCAGGCCCTTGGGCCCTGGCAGCAGATGGCAGCAGAACCAGGCAGGACCGTGCCAAGCCGAAGGCCCAAGCCCTGGGGACAAAAGTACAGGGGACGAGCAGGGTACTCTGAGTTGCCCATCTCCATGTGTCACGTCTCCTCCTGCTCTCAGTTGTCACGGTGCTGATGTGGCCCCTCGCCATGTACCACCGCCTGTGGGACCGAGCCTATGTGCGGCTGAAGCCGGCTCTGCAGCGGCTGGACTTCAGTGTGCGCGGCTACATGATGTCCCGGCAGAGAGAGCAGCAGTGTAAGTGTCCCTCGGAGGCCAGAGGGAGGGCGCAGGCTGTGTTCCAGAACCTGCGAAAGACTCACCGCAGCTGCGTAAGGCAGACTGGGACTCCTCCCTTGGTTCGCCTGTCCACACGTGCAGGCGCTGGGCCAGCTGCTCTGCAGACACGCGGTATTTCACCCCTGCAGGTCTTTAGATGTAGGCGGTGGCACCCTCCTCTCTTCACCGAGGAGACCCCGGCAGGGCAGGTCCCGGACCAGCCGCCTCGGAGGCCGAGCATGCGCTCCGAGCTCCCTGCAGGAGCAGTGGCAGCGCACGTGCACGGCCGCTCGTCCTGTCAGCTGGGGGGTTGGTCAGGCCCCAGTCCCCTGAGCCCCGGCCTCGCCTGGGCCTCACAGCCAAGGTGTTGGCCCTCGAAAGCCTGGTTAGCTTGGTTTCTCTCGGTAGACCCAGGGCGGCAGCGCGCAGCGGGCGTCGTGGTAAAGGAGGGCGCTGGGGTCCCACACAGGCTGCAGGCTGCTCTGCCTGTGTTCCGGGCATGGCAGGAGGGAGGGCGGCTGTCCCCTCCCCACGCGAAGGCGTCAGAGCCACCTGGCCTCCCCACAGCGCACCGCCGAGCTCTGCACCCAGAACGCGCAGGGGCCGACCGCAGCGACAGTGAGGAGGAGCTCGCCGCCTTCTGTCCTCAGGTAGCCGTTCGCTCTGCGCCAGCCGCCTGTACCTGGCCCTGCCTTCCATGGGGCTCTCACACGGAGGCAGTCCCCTCCGAGACCCCAGTGTCCCCTCACTCCCAGTGGCAGACGTGGAGAGGAGCTGGTGTCACGCGGGGGCGCTGAGCTCCTGGACGCCCCCTTAGTGTGGGCATTGTGCCGCCTCCTGCCCCCTCGGCAAGCAGGCTCCATGTGTGCTGAAAAGGAAGTAGCTAACTGCTTCCCAGACTTTTCCTCTGGTGCCCAAACATCAATGAGGAACAGCATTTTGGGGGCACAGCCTAAAAGTCAGGAATTGACTGCAGGCTCCTCCAAGCCCTGAGCGCACCGCTGGCCTTGTGCAGCCTCCCGGGGAGGCTGCTGATGGCGCCGCTCCTCACACATCTGGGCTTTTCATCTCCAGCTGGACGATTCCGCCGTGGCCAGGGAGCTGGCAATCACAGACTCGGAGCACTCCGACGCTGAGGTCTCCTGCACGGATAACGGCACCTTCAACCTCTCGAGGGGCCAGACTCCCCTGACAGAGGGCTCTGAAGGTGAGGGCCCCGGGGGCTGGGGGCCACTGTGCTGAAGCTGGTCCCTGAGCAGCCTTGGGCTCGGGACAGTGGAGGAGGGCAGGAGCAGTGGGCACAGCGTCTAGGATGGAGTGGGGGGAGCTGGCCCCAGGGCTTTGCAGGAAAAATTGGGAGGCGCGGGTTGGCGGGGGCCAGGGCGGGGGTGTGTTTCAGACACCTGTGTTTCCCAGACCTCGATGGCCACAGCGACCCGGAGGAATCCTTTGCCAGGGACCTTCCAGACTTCCCTTCCATTAATGTGGACCCTGCCAGCCTGGATGACGAGGAGGACACCAGCATCGGGATGCCCAGCCTGGTGTACCGGTCCCCGCAGGTTCCCCGGGTGCCCGCGGCCAGCAGGGACGAGGCCACGCTGCCTGAGCTCCTGCTCAGCGCCCTGCCCGTAGGGTCCAACCTCACCAGCAACCTTGCCAGCCTGGTCTCGCAGGGTGTGATCCACATGGCCTTGTCGGGAGCCTCCCAGCCCGGCCCTGCCGGCCCCCCAGCCCGGAGAGCAGCCCGAGGCCTCCTGCGGGCACCTAGTTCCGACCTGGACACCGACGCCGAGGGCGATGACTTTGAACTCCTGGACCAATCGGAGCTGAATCAGCTGGACCCTGCCAGCTCCAGGAGCCACTGAAGAGGCGGGCTTCTTTCCTGTCGGGGTCACTGTTAGGGCTTTTCTCCCCACGCTGCTGATGCTGATGGGGCAGCGGAAGAGCCCAGGTCCCAGTCCCTGAATTACATTTCCAGCAGGGTCCTGGCTGAGACACAGAGGCCTGTCCTGCTGCCCAGGGCACCGTTCCATGTTTAGCCATGAGGTGCGTGTGTTCCCCAGGGTGTCTCCATCAGGACAGCCGGTGGGGACAGCAGTCGGGGTGCAGGTGCGGCTGTTTGCCTTGCAGCCTGCGTGCTCAGGGCCCTTGCTGATGAAAGAGCCCGGCTACCCTTCCGCCGCAGGAGCCCCAGGCCGCCAGGCAGCAACAGCAGCAGGAGTTGTCCTGTCCTTCGAGAGACCCTGGTTTGATGTTTCCAAAGCAAGCTTTCCCTTGGTTCTGCAGAGCAGGGCTGCGGCCCTGCTCGCCTGTCCGCAGGGCTCAAGGGCAGACCCCAGTGCCCCAGAAGCACCACTTGTGAAGCTCAGGTGAGGTGAGGACAGGTGTTCTCCACCTCACCTCGGCCTCAGCCAGCCAGGAGGTTGGGAGCCCTCTGCCTTGGGGTCCATGGCCCCTCTGGGCTCTGTGGGGTCTCTGGTGCTGCTGACCCTGGCTCTGTTCCGCCCTTGGGCTGAGCAGTGAGCAAAGCAATACTGTGCCCATCCCTGTGCCTCCCTGGGCCGCCTCTGGAGAGGCAGGGTCCTCGGGGACAGCAGAGTAGCACTTTACAGATGGCTGTGGCAGGCATCCCAGGGCCACCAGCTGTTCTCACCCTGGTCAGGTCCCTCCTGCAAGATGAGCCCACTAGCAGGACCGCATCTGGAGAGACCCCTGGAGGGCATCTGTCCCTCGGCCTCTGCTGAAATCATGCTCGACAAAGCCCCCAGATGATCATTGGTTCTAAGCCTGGCCAGCCTCTCGCCTTGCCCCACCCTGCAAAGCTCAAGCCAGACCTCTCCCTCCTGTACCATGCCCTGCTGATCCTCAGGGACCACTTCCGGCCCACCCGACCTGGGCCAGGGATGCTGGGCAGTGCCTAGCTTTGTGTGCTGCTGGTGGGGTGGGGTGCCTGTTGCCTGTGGCGAGTGGACAGGGTGCTCCCCGCAGGGAAGGGCTGTGTGTGTGAAGGCTCCTGCTGTAGGTTCTCTGACAGACTGAGCAGCACTGCTGGGACTCGAGGTGTCTCACAGGTGGGCTCTGATGTACAGGTGGGCAGTGTGGAAAGGAGTAAGATTTTGTTTGCATGAGTGTAGCTTCAGGCCTCAGGAGGTGGCAAGAGAGGGAAGGAAGGAGAGCAAACCCAAGAAGGTCTTGTCCCCAGGGTCCCTTCTCTGAATATCCTTTCTCCTCCACTGTGAACGGGGTGGGCGGGTGGTGGTGGTGCTGCTGGGGAATAAATCTTGGTCGAGAATCATCTTTTAAGTGATGCTGACCAGTGTCTGTCCTTGACAGGTGCCCTTTGTCTACCTGGCTTCTGATTGGTCTTGAGTGCTGGGGTCTCCTGGTTCTCTCTGGTGGCTGTGAGAACAACTGCCACAGTAGGAGGCCACTCACCCTCTCTATGCCACCCATGTAGGGGTGTGACTGGCTAGCTTGGCTTTTGTTCCCATGTCTAATACTTAACATTGTTCCCGCGACATGCGCATTTCAAACAAGCCAGAGGTTTTAGCAGAGACTTTAAAAAGCACCGTTCTCTCTGGGCATGGAGGTTTATGAGTATAATCCCAGCACTCGAGGCTGAGGCAGGAGGATCGCTGGGAGTCTGAGGACAGACTAGATAATTTATCAAGACCCAGTCTCTCAAACAAGCTGGTCATGGTGGCGAACGCCTGTAATCCCAGCATCTGGGCGGCTGGGCGACACAGTGAATATGCAGAAAATCCTCAGTGCTGGGGGAGGGGAAAGTACCGGGCTCGCCACTAGATTCTCCGGGCGGCAAGGACAGCTGCTCTTTGGCCTTCAACTGACCTCAGAAGCTAAAAATACTTATTTCAGTCTCTGTCGCCCGGCCACTACGGTCAGGAGTGGAAAGCACCTGCCTGCCAGGTGCTGCTGAGCCCTGCTCGGCTACGGCTCAGCGGATTCTCGCAGCCCCTCCCAGCCTGCCTTCTGCCGGGTCGGAAACCACCGCGATGCCGAGCGCCCCCTGCGTGCGCGGCTCGGGGCGGCGGAGGCAGCACCATTCGCACGGCTGCGGGCTCTGCCAGCCCTGCAGACGAAGTGGTCGGGTCGCGTGGAGTCGGGCCCGGGCCCAGGCCCAGGCCAGGTGGCAACGCGGCATGGCTTCGCCCGCTGCCGCCTCCTTTCCGGGGCGGGGGGCCGGCCCGAGGTGCAGGAGGGCGGGGCCGAACTATGCCGTTCGGGCCTTCGGGAGGGGCTGCCGCGGTGCAGGAATCGCTTCCGCTCCAGCCAATCGTCGTCGGGAAAGCTTCCCCTCTAGCCAATCACCGCTTGAGGTCCGCCCTCCGTCGCCGGAAGGAGCCGTCGTCGCAGGCAATCACGACATCCGTTTTTCAGTTGCGCGGCGGGAAACGGCCATGAGTAAAGGCCGGGCGGAAGCTGCGGCGGGAGGTACCTGGGGCGCGAACGGGTGGAAGGCGGGGGCCCGGGGGAGGCCGGCCGAGGGACCTTCGTCCTGTCCCGTCTCTCCGCAGCCCCCAGTATCCTCCTGAGGTACCTGGAGGAGCAGAACAGGCCCTACAGCGCCCAGGACGTGTTCGGGAACTTGCAGAGGGAACACGGGCTGAGCAAGGCGGTGAGCACCGGAGCCCCGCCCCCGCCGCCGCCCCGCCCCCGCCGCCGCCCTGACCCCTCGCCCTCCCCTGGCAGGCGGTGGTGAAGACGCTGGAGCAGCTGGCCCAGCAGGGCAGGGTTCGGGAGAAGACCTACGGCAAGCAGAAGGTCTACTTCGCCAACCAGGTGAGGCCCGCGCCCGGCGAGGAGTGGCAGCCCCGGGACCGGCTCGGTGAGAGCTGGGGCGCCAGGGACAGCGCCTCCCACACGTGCGCCCTCTGCCCGGAGATTCGCGAGCTCTCCAGAGGTGACTCTCGGTGGGGGCAGCAGCTCCTGGTTGCAGGAGCTCGCCTGAGCGCTTGTTTCCTCCCAGCCGACCCGCACCATTCTGGCACAGGACGCTTCCCTTCAGCCTCTCCCAGCACACACTTCGGACGCCAGGCCGCCAGCCTGCCTTTCCGAGTCTCAGCAGCGTCACCTGCCTCATTCCCCACGCTGGCTCCTCTCTGCCGCTCTCCTCTCTTACTGCAGTCACTTGGGTGTAACTGCATTCGTCTACTCATTGAGTACAGCTGAGGGGTGTTTTCTCTTTCCTTTTATTTTGGTTTTTTGAGACAGGGTCTCCCTTTGTAGTTCAGGCTGGCCCTGAACTCACTATGTAACCCAGGCTGGCCTCGAACTCACAGCGATCCTCCTGCCTCAGTCTCCCGAGTGCTGGAATTACAGGTGTGGGCGACCGCACCCGGCTTTGAATTTTCCTTTCTTGAATCTGCTGCCTTGCCATAAGTTTGGGAGTTCAGACCCTCTTCTCAGCTGGTCCCAGTCACAGACCTGGTGTCCTTGAGCGTTCTGTGAATCTGGCATGATCTGCCTAGATGCAGAGCTGCTCCTGCATCTTCCTCCCAAATGCTTCCCCACCGAATAAGGGAAAGGGCTGGAGACTCGGCCATCAGCCTCTGCCCATCCACACCAGACACCTTGGATGTGTTTCACTCTTCTGTCCTTCCTCCTCACCCCGTTGCCTGGTATTGTAGTCCTGACTGCCTCTGTCCAGGTTGGATTGTCCTCCGGGGCTCCCTCTGGCCATCACTTCAGAGCTTGGCCCCGACGCTCTGTGCACACGGCCACTTCCAGGCTCTCCCCTGCCTCCTGTGCCCTGTGCCGTATGTCCGGTGCCCCAGGCATGCTGGTTTGTCCCTTTCTCTTTACTTGTGTCCCTCCCTAAACCGGTGCTTTCCCAGGGCAAACCCCACTTTTCGTTTTCATTCACTCCCCCCACGGCCTGTCACACTCAGAGGACATGGAATCCGTGCTGGTTTAACTCAACTGAACCCCTCTGAGGCTAGTCTTCTCTGACAGGCTTCCCTATGCTGCTCCGTGAGGGGGTGACAAACGTTCCACGAAGGGCCTCGCCGCATCCTTAGGCCTCAGAGGGCACCTAAGCCCTGGTCACGCAGACTCCCCTCTGCAGCTGCGGGCCATGCAGGGACGGGCGCAACTGGAGACTCCAGCCCCACAGGCTTGGCTCGCAGTCCCCGCGCCTGTCATGCTGTCCCCCTGCACACCCCACTGGCAGTTGTCAGGGTGCCCATGGCCCAGAGGGTCCTGCTCGAGACCCTCAGCCCATCGAGCCCATCCCAAGCCGCCTGTCACTCTTCTTGCTGCTGAAGCCCAGGCTCTGGGTCTCCCGCCCAGGTGGAGTTGCTGTGTTGCTGCAGCGGGGCTGGGTGCTTTGCTCATCCAGTGGAGAGCTCCCTCCCTGCTGCTTGGGATCCTGCCAGCCTGGAAGCTTGTGCAGGTGTTGGATTCCTGCTTTTATACCTGTGCGTACACACACGTGTACGTGTGGTGCTGGGGTGGGACTTGGGGCCTTGTGCACACCAGGCAAGTGCTCTGCTACTGAGCCACATCTCCAGCCCTGTACCTGGTTTTGAGACATGGTCTCCTAAGTTGCTTAGGCTAGGCTCAAACTTTCAAACCTCCTGCCTCAGCCTCCCAAACAGGTGGGATGACAGGTATGCGCCGCTGTGCCCAGCTCTTTTCTCTCCCTGTTGGAATCAGCCCCTGAATGACTTCTCGGGGTGCCCTCTGGTTGGCGTCCCCAGCCTCCCCAAGGCGCTCCAGCTCCGTCCTGCTTGTCACTCGGCTTTTCCTGTCCCTGGTAGGACCAGTTTGACACTGTGAGCGATGCTGACCTCCAGAGCCTGGACGCCAAGATCCTGGCCCTCACCGCCAAGGTGCAGGGCCTGCAGCAGAGCTGCCGCCACATGGAGGCCGGTAGGAGGGTGCCCTGCAGGGTGCCTGCCAGGCCAGGTTCCTTGGGTCAGGAGCTGCGCAGGGACTGGGTGGGCATCTGCTGGTGTCACTGCAGAGGCCCCAGTGGGGCTGCCTGAGACTTTAAACAAAGAATAGCGGGGTGTGGTGGCGCATGCCTGTCACCCTAGCACTCCAGGAGGCTGTGGCAGGAGGATCTCAAGGGCAAGGTAGAGCCCAGCCTGGCCAACTTAGTGAGACCCTGACCCAAGACAAAAGGGCTGGAGCTGGGGTTCCATGTGGGGGCTGATTCAAGCCCAAGTGGCGCCAGAGCAGGACATGTGAGACTGCCGCTGTCTGTGCAGAAGCCGGGGGAAGCGTGCACCCGCCCTTGCGCAGTCTGGTGCACTGACCCGTGTTGTCCTGTCCCGCGGGGCTGGCAGGTCCCCTCAGCCTCACCTCACCACCACTTGTAGACAGGCGTGGAGAAAACTAGACTGAGCCCCCTTGTCCCGAGCCTGCGCAGCTGTGTCCTCCAGGCCTGGACTGCAGCCGGCTGGGGCGGTGCTGGCCCGGCCTCTGTTTCAGAGCTGAAGGAGCTGACGAGCGCCCTGACCACGCCAGAGATGCAGCAGGAGATCGCGCGGCTGAAGTCCGAGTGTGCGGGCTACACCGAGAGGCTGCGGGGCATCACAGCGGCCCCCGTGCACGTGACCCCGGCCGAGAAGGAGCAGGTGGCAGCGCAGCCCGCGGAGGGAGGGCCCGGGTGGCTGGGCGGGCACTGCTGAACCCTTCTTCCCGCAGGTGCACCGAGAGCAGCAGCGCTACTGCCGGGAGTGGAGGACGCGCAAGCGGCTGGTGAGTGGTGGGGGCCCCGGGGGTGGCCCTGTCCCCGCGCTGCCAGGTACAGCATGGCTCTGTCCCCCCCAGGCGATGGAGCTGTCTGCGGCCATCCTCGAGGGCTACCCCAAGAGCAAGAAGCAGTTCTTTGTAAGTGGCCTCTGCCCCGTGGGCCGGGTCCCCTGCTGCAGCGCAGGCCCTCACACTCCTGCCCGCAGGAGGAAGTCGGCATTGAGACGGACGAGGACCACGGCGCGGCGCCCCCGGACCCCTAGGCCTCTTGGAGCAGGCGGGGGGGGGGGGGGGCAGCTCCCACTCTCCGCCTATGCAGCAGTTTGAGCGTCACCTGCAGGTTTGGAACAAGCAAGGCCAGTGGACACGTGATGTTTATTGTGACTTCCTGTAAAACTGACTTTCCCATGGGCAGCGACCCCGCGGGACCCTGAGGGGGCTCCTGGGGCCCAGCATTTCCAGCACTCCCGGAGAAGAGGGGAGGGGAGAAAGGCTGGGGGATTTCACTTTCCAAAGTTGTATCTGTAGCAAAACTGCCTTGTTGGTATTTAAAAAAAATATTTCTAGAGGGGCGGGGATGTAGCTCAGCAGCCTGCGCCTGCCTGGCAAGCTCAAGGTCCTGAGTTCCATCCCTGGCACCGAAGGGGGGAAAAAAAAGATTTGCCAATGTGCACCACTGTGTCCCGCCTGTCTTTGGGGTGTGGGCAGAAGACGCTGGGGGCTTCGCGCGCCCTGGAGCAGTGGCAGAGTAGGGACCCAGCCCGGCCCCTTTGGTGTAGCTCAGTGTCCTCTCCCAGCCACTGCCAAGTGCCACACCTAAGCCACAGGCCACCGATAGATACCAAAGCAGCCCAAGCTGGTCAATCTCCACAGGTTCGGGGCTCCCTGTGGGGAGAGGCAAGGACTGGCTGCATGGTCGGGAAAATAAATGATCAGAAGCGTTCACAAAACATGCTCCTCACACAGGATGTGGTCCCAGCCAGGCAGGAGACATCTGGGCTCTGTGGTGTCTGCAGCCATCAGTAGAGCTGGTTCTTAAGCTGATGCAGGACGCCCAGCATGATGTCACGCAGGGTCTGGAGTGGAGAGAGACGAACTCAGGCAGGGTTGCAGGTGGCTCCCTAGGGCACAGCCCCTACCCCCAAGGGCCCAGAAGCAAATACAATAAACCACTAGTAGTAGAGTTTAGGCAGTGGCTGTGAGTGATCCCTTTCAGATTCTCACTGGGGCAGTGTTTTAACTTAAAAGTCCCTGCACTGGAGACACTGAGACAGGAGGATCACTGCAAGTCTGGCCTACCAGCGAATTCAAGGCCAGCCTGAACTACACAGCAAGACCATCTAAAAATATATACAAATATACACAAACTGAAAAATGTTGGGAAGCTGAGGCAGAAAGGTCACAATTCAAGCCCCAGCTTGGGCAATGTGGCAAAACCTTATCTCAAAACAAGGGCTGAGGATGCACCTTAGTGTAATGGTCCTGGGTTTAAGCTGCAGTACTGCAAAAACAAAACAAAACGTAGGAAAGAAGAATCTCAGCAGCCAGGCCTCAAAAGCAGGAGACCCCACAGCCCTGGTACATTCAGCAGCAGCAAGAGATAACCCTTGGGTCAACTACTCCAGTGGCCCGGTGTGTCCACACGGGGGAGCCTGGCTCACACCCCAAGGCTGGCAGCAGACACCCCTAGCCAGCCGCACCTGGGGCTTGCAGTGCTCCTCGATCCAGCTGAAGACGCAGGCCGACAGCTCCTGGAAGCTGGCCACCGAGATGGAGGCATTGAAGGACTGGAACAGGGAGTCCATAATGCCCTGGAACACGCTGAACTTGACCTGGTCAGACACCTGGTCCTTCCCCTCATGTGGGTTGTCTCGGTGCGCCTTGACGATCTGCTCGTAGTTCCTGAAAATGGCAGGGGCCTCAGCCGCCAGGGAAGCCAAGGGCTACCTGCGTGATCCCGGAGGTGGAGGGCACAGGTGACAGCTGGGGTCACTTCCTGCTGGTGTGGAGCGGGAGGCTGGGTGCGGCAGTGGCGTCCCCCAAGCAGCTCTGTCTCCAGGTCGCCCCTTACACTTTCATGATCTTCAGGGCAGTGACATCCTTGCGCAGGGTAGACACCTCCTCCTCCTGCTTTTTCTTCTCCTTGTGCAGAAACTGGATGTAGTCGATGGCTGGGGTGGGCACAGAGGTGTCACAGGAGGCCCAGGGTGGGGGGGCCGTGCCTCTCTCCACCCCCAGCCCCTGCCTACTCTTCTGCAGGACGATGGCCTTGCTGAGCTTCTGGGAGCCGATGGAGAAGTCCTGCTGCTGGCAGGTGGGGACAATGGTCTGAAGGTCGTCGTATCCTCTCTGTGGGGACAGGGGGACCCTCAGGAGCGGACTGAGGAAGGAGCTGTGCACCCCTAAGGGAGGGAGCAGCCACCCCAGGCTGCCGGGGACAACTGGGGATCTGGGCAGATGGATGCAAACCAGGTCAGGGCCTCCGTCACCTTGATGGCGTCCCTGCGCTTCTGCTCGGCCTGGGTGTGTGCTCGCCGTCGCCGGTCCTTGTAGGACTCCTTGTAGGACTCCTGCTGGTAATCGCTGTCCTCATCATCTAGCACAGAGTGGGGAGCAGGGGAGGCGACGTGAGGCCCAGAAGGGGCCGACAAAGCTCGCCTGTCCCTGGCCAGGAGCCTGGCGCCAGGTAGAAGGGGTAGAAAAAGACACCCGGGGAGACGCCAGGCAGCAGAGGTGGGTCTGGTTCCCTGTCTGGGAAGGACACAAATGATGGACCCCGCCTCTGGGTGGTGGGGGACGCCTACCTGTGTTGGGGACAGAAGAGGCGCTGGTGGAACCGATGCTGTTAGCCCTGGACACCACGCTCCCCTTGCGGGCGCTTTCTACAAAAAGCCCTGGAGGAGACGCGGGTCACTGAGGGGACGGGTACTGTGCGGGTGACGCCTCCCCCCCTTCCCGCGCACTACGCGCAAAGGTCCACTCTGCTCGTGGCTCAAAGGGAGTGACCGGCTGTCCCCGCCCGGGCGCCTCCCAGCTCACGGTGGCGCAGCCGGGTGTTTCCGGCCTCGGTGCTCAGCGGGGGCCGGGGCTCGGCCGCGGCGGGCACTCACCAGGGTCCAGGCTGGTGTCGCTATAGGCGCACTCCACCTGCGCACGGGCGAGGGGGCGAGGTCAGGTGGCGCAGCCCAGCGCCAGATGCGGGCGATGGTCGCGGGGCCCCGCCCGCCCCGTGGTCTCCCACCCGGGTAGAGTGGTCTTCTCCGCAGCCCCGAAACCCGGATGGCAGGGAGACTGGGGCGCAGGAGGAAAGCCCGGTGCGCTGGAGCCCGGCCCGCCCTCCCCTAGCGGCGTGCGTTCCCGGGCTTGCCTTGACCCACGGGTCCTCAGGAGAGGCTCCGGGCTCCGTCATCGCGGACCGACCCAGCGGACCGGAAGTCAGCCCGGGTGGGACCCCAGGGCCGGGAAGAGGCGAGGCGCCCACGTGGCCCGGGTCCGCCAATCCGAGCCCGGACTGGGGGCGGGGCGAGGACACTGCGAGTGTGCATGCGCACGGGGGGGGGGCAGCGCTCACCCCCGCCGCCCGGCCCAGCTGTGCCCAGAGCGCCTCCGGGAGCCGAGAACCAGGGGTCCTTTCCGGGGGCCAAGGGTCCGCCGGACTGCATAAACGAGCTCGTGTAGATACTGCTCCAGGCCGGCCGACCAGTCCTGCCGGAAGCAGGGAGGGACTTCTGGCTGGCTCTTAAGCACGGCGCCCTAACCGAGAGCCCTGGGTGCCCGGGCGGGAAGCAGACAGCACAGGCATCCTCTGCACACATCCACTTTAATTCTGTGCCGCGCTCCAGACTCCCTGGCCCGCAGCCGGGCAGCAGACCCGGCCTGTGTCGGGGAGCCCTGGGCCTGCTCCCCACTGCCTGTCCCCACCATGGCCGCCCCGGTGCCCCCCAGGCCAGCCGTGTCCTGCACAGCCCGGAACGAAGCTCCCGGCCTGAGACCTGAGGACCGCTGCCTCCTCTGTACGGCTCTCCGGGGGCTCCAGGGGCCCCTATGGGCCCCCAGGGGTCGCACGGTCAGTCCCGGGCGCGAAGAGTCTCAGGGAGGCGTTTCTGCAGCAGATCCCAGGCTCGTTCCACCTTCAGGCGGCCCGATGTCAGAGAAAGGAAGGACAGGGTCAGGCGGACAGCCCAGGGCCAGGCCGCGCCGCCCAGTGCCGCCCCGGCCCCTCAGCCACAGACCTGCTGCTGGGTGATGTGCGGCGCCCACAGAGTGCTCAGCACCACGTGGCTCTGGCCCACCAGCTGCTGCCCGCTCATCTGGCTCTGCAGCCGGCTGTGGGCGGCAGCCTCGCTCAGCCCGTCCCTCTCCATGATGCGGCGCACAGCCTGGGCACAGATGGCGGAGTGTCGGGAGGGACCAGAGCGCTGCCTCGGGCCCAGGGGAAGCTTGGGGCCCACGTACCTCAGTCTCGGGGATGACCACGGTCCACACTTCATGCACCATGTCCTGCCAGCCGGCTTCCAGCAACACGGCGGCATCGAGGACACACACTGTCTTCCCTGCAGGAGGGCCTGGTCACCACCAGCGCAGCCCCACCCAGCCCCCGGGGAGGCAGGTGGCCCCACTCACCCTGGGCCACAGCCCGGTCCATCTCCTCTAGGGCCAGCTTGGTGATCACTGGCCACACGATGTCTGTGAGGACCTTCAGCTGCTTCTGGGAGTGGACAGAGAGAGTGGGCAGAGGTTACGTCCCTGCGTGCCAGAGCCAGCCTGAGATGCAGGAACAGCTCCTGGTGGTGGCTGAGGAGTCTGAGGAGCACTGCAAACTCACCTTGTTCCCGAACACCCGGCTGCCTAGGACCTTCCTGTTGATGACGCCATCTTTATGGAGAATGTCTAGGTGACAGGAGGGGGGCTGAGCAGAGGCAAGGCCACCTCCCAGCCTCAGACCACCTCCAGGCCTCATGGGTCATTACCCGTTCCGAAGGCCTCCACCACGGGCTGGTAGGCGGAGCCTCCCGGAGCATAGGCCCGATGGCCCAGCTGGTCACTGTCGATGACATACGCCCCCAGGCTCCTCAGCCTCCGAGCAACAGAGCTCTTCCCAGAGGCGCTGATGCCCGTCAGGCCAAGCACGTACAGGCAGGGTGGGAGCTCTGGCCTCTTCTGTGGGTAGATAACTGGCCTTCAGCTCCTGCTTGGGTCTGAAGCCCTCGCTTTCTCCTTCCCAGCATTCCTGGCACACCAGGCACGAGCAGGAAGAGGGGAGGCTTACATTTGGGGGCCTCAGCAGGGTGCCCAACATTCGCTGGCGGAAGCTGGAGGAGCTGACTTTGTCTTCTTCATTTTCCTTGTGACTTTGGTCCTTCAGCAGCTGGATCTGGTACAAGACCAGCTCCTCCAAGCCCTGTAGGAAAGGGGGAAAGGGGTAAAGAGCGGGAGGATAAACCCAGACCCCAATCTGTCTCACGCTCCTCCTATTCCAGAGGAAAATGGGATCCGAGCCTCCTAGCCACTTCCCACCACCCTGCACCCTCTCTGCCTTCCTCCCCTCCCGTCCCCTCACCCGTCTCCCACAGGGGTTACATGCTCCAGTCGGAAGCGGTTGACGGCCATCCCCCCACGATAGGTCTCCTCGCTGACCACCAGGAACTCCAGCAAGGCATCAGAGCCCGCGGGCCCATAGGGGTCCACCAGGGGGACGATATCAAAAGTCAAGGAGGGCTTGACGTCCACCAGGAACTCACTCAGGTGTTCCACACGGTCTGCATAAGGCTGGAGCAGCTCAGGGAGCACCTTGCCTGGGGGAGTAGCACAGGCGTAGGGTAAGTGTCCTGCAGGGTCCTGCACCCAAGTGTGCCCAAGGAGAGAATGACACGGGACACTGAGGGGCAGGCACCTCATGGGCCTTGTGCAGGTGGTCAAGGGAGCCGCCCAAAGTTCCTGATCCCAGCCAAAGAGAAGAGGAGGACAGAAGGCCTGGGGACAATGCCAAGAAAATGGGCAGACAGCAAGGTGGATCCAAGGCTGGCCTGTCGGAGAACAAGCCACCAACGAGTCACACCAGAGACTTGCCAGTACCTGTGTGCAACAGTTAGCTGGCAAATCTGAAACCACAGCGTCCTCGAGTCCCTTCTGACTGTGGCACTGCTCCTACAACTGACACGTTCATCGACCCAGTGTCTCAAGAGCTGGTGACCTGGACGAGGTCAAAGTACAGACTCCTGGGCCGGCACTGGGGCAGTTCTGACTGACCCCAGGCACAAAGAGCTGATTACTAAACTGTCCCTGCATCGGGCCGGGGATTTAGCTCAGTGGTTCCCGTGCCTGCCTTGCAAGAACAAGGTCCTGAATTCGATCCCCGGTACCAAAAAAAAAAAAAAAAAAGGGTCCCCGCACCGACGGAGCAGGTCACGGGGACATCTGGAAGTGGGGAGTGGCCCGTCTTCCTCCACCAGCTTGGAGGTAGGAGGGGCGCAAGGTCATCGAGGAGCCTCTCACTCACTCTTCAACAGGTCCTTGTCCGCCACTCCTACCACCAGCCGCTCCTGGGCCAGGACGCAGGCGACGCTGAGCAGCACCTTGTGGGCGTTGTGCAGGCGGTCGAAGGTGCCGCCCAGGGCGCCGCGCTGGTAGCCGGGCACGGGCTGCTTTGGGGATCTGGCCACGGGGGACGCAGGCCTGATGGTGGCGGGCAAGGGGACGTCCAGGGGCTCCGCGGGCAGCTCTCCCGTCCCGTGATCGGGGTGCAGCAGCACGGACGACAGCTGCGGGCAACAGCTGTAACAGCTGGTGGCGTAGCGCTCCAGCTGCTGCTTCACCGGGTTGTACTGGCTGCCGTCGCGGGCCTGGAAGTCGGTAAGCACCACCTCCGGCGGGTGCGCCAGGTTCTGCACGGAGCCCACGGGCGCGGGCGCCAGGGCGCTCTTGGCCTGCACGTTGCTCAGCAGCACGCGCACGTCCAGACCGCGGTGGCGGTCGGCGCCCGCGTAGAGCAGCGAGAGGACGTCGAGGACCTCGAAGGTGGCGGGCACCGGGCCGGGGTGCGGCTGCGCGGGGCCCGCCAGGGTCAGGCCAGGCTGTAGGTGGACGTAGAGCGTGTGGTTCACCAGACCCGCGGCCGAGCTCAGCAGAGGCGCCAGGCGCGGGGCCAGCGCGGGCAGCGGCGCCGTCAGCACCAGCAGGCCGGAGCGGAAGGCAGCCATGGTGCCGGGCCTGCGGACGGACGGGGACACGGAGCGACAGTGAGTGACAGCACGCGAGGGGCCCAGAGGGGACGGCGGAGAAAGGCACTCTGGACAAGATGACTGAGTCACGGCGCTGGAGCCCGGGGGTCCTGGGCGCTCTGGCCAAGCTGCACCGAGGCCTATAAGGCCTCGAGGAGGGGCGGGAGGGGCCTCGCAACCCGCGTTGGTCCGCTACTCGCCGAGCCCTCAGCGCTAGGCTCCACAGACGCCGCCGCACGGACTGCCCCGGCGGTGACCCGGAAGCACTACGTTAGGGACTACAACTCCGCGCTACGGAAACTGAGAAGGGCCAGATCTTTTAACCGCGAGTCACACCGAAATGCTCGCGAGATTTTTCTGAGGGCGGGGCGAACCTGAAGATCTGGGGATGCTAAAGGAAACCTGGGTCCTAGCTCCAAACGGACAGGGCGAAGGGCAGGCGGGCCCGTGTTTGCGTTTCGCGTATTCCTTTCAGGGGCGGGGACATTGTCTCCAGCCTGGTTACCTGGAGGCTCTCGGAGTGCCAGGATCGGGGCGCTCCTTCCCGAGCCCCCCGGGACCCTCAGGGCTCAAGGGCATAGTTGGGGGGTGGTCCCCCCATGTCGCAGGTGGAAATGAGAGGCCAAAGCTGGGATCGTGCCGTGGCGGGAAGCCAAGCTGCCCTCAGAAAACATTTCAGGCCGGATGTGGTGGCACACGCCCGTAATCCCAGCTGCTCAGGAGGCTTAGGCAGGAGCACGAGCTCAAAGTCTGGGCAATGTAGGGAGACCCTACATTTTAAATTTTTTTTTTTTTTTGGTACCGGGGATCGAACTCGGGTCCTTGAGCTTGCCAGGCAGGCGGCGAAGCCACTGAGCTAAATCCCCGGCCATTTTAAATTTTAAATAAATTTTTTAAAAAAATTATTGTTTAATATGACTTAAAGACACCATTTCAATTTTTTGTTTAGCTCTCAGATTCCAGCATGTGCTATTTTGATTCTGTAAAATTATGCATTTTCGTGTGTATCCAGCAACATTGTCTTGTACACTTGTGCTGTGTTCATTGACCAAATAAACAAAATTTTAAATAAACAAATATTTAAAAGGGCCGGGGATGTAGCTCAGTGGTAGTGTTTGCCTACCATGTGGGAAGCCCCGAGTTCACCCCCAGTAATGGTAAATAACATTGAACAAGATCTTTCAGGGCCTGGGATTTAGCTCAGTGGTTTCACTGCCTGCTGCGCAAGCGCAAGGACCCGAATTCCACCCCAGGTATTAAAAAAAAAAAACCAAAAAAACCGAACAAGATCTTTCAGGTGAATGATTGTCTATGGTCACCTGAGGGAAGCAACCAGTCCATAGGATCCCCATAATGCGCTGTGGTTTGGTTTCCCCGAACTGAAAAAATACCCACCTTCACACCTTTTTTGGTGCTGGGCTTGAGGCAGGGTCTCACTATGTAGTCCAGGCCGGCCTCGAACTCGCAGTGATCCTCCTGGCTCAGCCTCCTGAGTGCTAGCATTACATGGGTGTGCCATCATGTCCGGCTTGATTTTGTTTTGTGATACTGGGAACTGAACCTAGGGGCTTCTGAGCAACATCCACTGCCCTGTTTTTAAATTTTGAGACAGTCTTGCTAACTTGTCCACACGCCTTGAACTAGCAATCCTGCCTCAGCCTCTTGAGTAGCTGGGATTACAGGTGTGCCACGGGGTCCGGTCTAATGTTCCTAATGAGGGCCTCCAAAGTGTATGAGCTCTCAGCCCATACATCTGCCTTTGGAACCAAGACTAAAGATGTTAAGGGTCAGGTTTCTTGCTGGAGCCATTGTAAATTGCAATTTAAAGAGAGGCTGCGCCAGGCTGGAGGCTGAGTCAGGAGGGTCAAGGTTCCAGCCCAGCCCGGGAAACTTCGTGTTTTAGTGAGACCGTCTCAAAATAAAAAAAATTTAAAAGGGCTGGCGAGGTAGCTCAGTGCAGAGGCCCTGGGTTCAATGAGAGAGAGAGAGAAAAGAAACTTTGTTTTATTTGAAGAAGCAAAAATCAAAGGCTATGGGGCCAGGGATTTAGCTCAGTTGTTCTGCCGCCTGCCTTGCAAGTGCAAGGACCCGAGTTTGATCCCCCAGTACCATAAAAAAAAAAAATCAAAGGCTATCGGGCAATGTCCCAAAACATCGGGGTGGTCTCATGTGCACAGTAAATGTGTTCACAAAGTTGAGAAGAAAGGTCTGAGAGGTCCCCCCGCCCCGAGTTCAATACTTCACTGATGATAGGCGAGGAGAAAGGCCTTGGGTGGTGGTGCACGCCTGTAATCCCACCCCTCAGGAGGCTGAGGCAGGAGGATCACTGAGAGTTCGAGGTCAGCCTGGGCTATATAGTGAGCCCAAGGCCACCTTGGACTACATGGTGAGACTCTGTCTCAAAAAACCAAACAAAAAAAGCTACGAAGAAAAACCTAGCAGAGGAAGGAACCATGGGGGGTGGGCAGGGAAAGCTGCTGATCCAGGGCAACAGCAACGACCTGAAAAAGGAGATGGAATCAGACTGAGGAAAGGTGAATCTACACAAGACAGCCAGTGCAAAGGCCCTGGGGCAGAGGTAGGGGTGCTGCCATAGAGGAAGATGAAGAGTGCTGGGGATGAGGGCAGAGGGGAAGGAGGACCAGCTAGCAGAGGTCTTGGGGACCTTAGGGACACCTGGGTCATAGTGAGTGGGGATGCTTCAGGAGGAATGTAAAGCAGAGATGCAATCAGGCTTTTTTTGAGACAGGGAAGCCAGGCTGGCCTTGAACTCGCAGTGATCCTCCTGCCTCAGCCTCCCAAGTGCTGAGATGACAGGAGTGCAGCACCATGCCTGGCAGACGTTCATTTCATGAAATGCCATTCTGCCTGCACTGTGTAACTGTTACTGTTGGTGGCCAGGGTGGCATCAGGAAAACCAGTGTGGAGGCTGCTGTGGTGCCCGATGGGAGGTCAGGAAGGGACGGCGACTGGCTGGGGCGATCTGGAGATAGAAGTCAGAGCTCCCTGCCAGTGGAGTGGGTGAAAGGCAGGGTTGAGTTGCAGTCCAAGGGTCGTGGAAAAGGGAGAAGTCTGGGGAAATGGGGACGATTGAAGGGGGAGCAGGCATCTCCCATCAGGAACTGGATGCTTGGTTTTGTTTGAGACAGGATTTCCCTGTGTAGCCCAGGCTGGCCTCCAACTCATGATCTTCCTGCCTCAGCCTCCTGAGTGCCTGGACCATAGGCGTGCACTTCGTGCCCAACTAGGAATTGGGACTGGAAGGCATCTTTGAGTTTTTGTTTTGTGTTTTGGTACCAGGGATCAAACTCGGGACCTTGTGCTTTTGAGGCAGGCAGCAGAACCACTGAGCTAAATCCCTGGCCCCAAGAAGGCATCTTTGAAAGGCATCTCTGCTGAGTGGGCAGGAGGAGACACAAGCCTGGGGGGGCCATCAGCATAGAGATGGTATTTGAACTGGGCATGGTGGCCCACATCTGTAGTCCCAGCATTTGGGAGGCTGAGGCAGGAGGATCACCTAGAGTTCAAGGCCAACCTGGGCTACATAGGGAAATCCTGTGTCAAGAAAGAAATGTTATCTGAAGTCAGGAACAGTGTGAGACTGTGCAGAATATGAACTGTGGGAGAGAGGAGTCACACCTGGCACTCACCCTGGCAACCTTGTGAGCAAATCACTCTCAGAGGTGCACAGGGACAGCTGGGATGCCTCAGAAACTCCAGCCACGATGCCTCAGGCCTTCCTAAATGCGAAGGGGACAGGAGGGCCACGAGGGTGACATGGCAGGGAGACCAGCAGGGGTGGGTATGAGGCCCCTACCTCCGAGGCCACAGATGAGAGGGTCCGGATGTCATCGAGCTGCCTTTGCCACATCCCAGCGTCCCAGCCGCCCCCCCCCGTGCCTCTCTGCCCACCCAGAGTCCTGCTGCTCCCCCGCGCCCCCCCCCCGCCAGGCCTCCATGGGAGTGGGGACAGCTCAGGTCTCCTGCCCTGTGCCCCTGCAGGGCGGGAAGGACAGACTGTGCGCAGCCCAGGTGGCCCCCAGCCCTGGCCAAGCATCCTGGGAGGGAAGATGCTGTCCTTCGGGGGCAAGGGCAGCAGGGCCCTGGGCAGGGCTGCCCCGCTTTGATTCCTTTAGCAGTGGTCCTCATTTAAGGGATGTGGTCAAACAATATGGTGAATGGTGACCTTTGTTTGTATGTTTTTGAGACATGGTCTCGCTATGTAGCCCAAACTGGTCTCAGCCTCCCGAGTGCTAGGGTTACAGGCGTGCGCCACAGGCCCGGCATCCTCCTTCTTTCTATTCCATATTGGGATTTGAATCCAAAGGCGCTGCACAGCTGAGCTACATTCCCGTCCCTTTTATAAAAGTTTACTTTGGGACAAGGTCTCCGTGAGGAGCCCAGACTGAACTCAAAATTGGCAGTGTTCCTGCCTCAGCCTCTGCTGTGGTGTCCACCGTTCCTCCTCTTCCCTCTGGTCCGCCTGGGAAGGTCCCAGTGGTCACACACTAATAATAACCATAACTGTAGCTTTATTATCTCAGGCTTAGCAGCAGCCCGGAGCACGGGTCACAGTGGAGGCCCTTCAGAGGCCAGGGCCCTGCCCCAGTGGGCGGGGTCAGCCTTCACAGGGGGCGGCGCCCGGCACGGAGCCCCCAGACACCCCAGCCCCGGGGTCGGCGGCGAACACGGCGCGGTGCATGGCATCCACGTAGCTGCGGCCGCTCGGGTCCTCGAGGCGCAGGCGCGCAAGAGGTAGGAAGCGCTCCGTGCAGAAATAGCGCAGGGCGGGCTGCGGGGCACGAAGGGCAGCCAGGAAGACCTGGAGGCGGGAGGGGCGGGGTCTGGACCAGGGCCCCGCCCACTCAGGTCCGAGTCCCGCCCCGCCCAGAGCCCTGTGCCCACCTCTGCCACCTCCTCCGGGTCCTGCGCGTCGCACGCCACCTGCTCGCAGTGCCGCTGGTAGAGCGAGAAGAGCTGGCGCGTGCGGGCGTCTGTGTGGGCCAGCGCTCCCCCCGGGCCGCCCTCCAGCTTCTCGTGGAAGGCGGTGTGCACCGGGCCGCACTCGATGAGGCTCACGCTGCGGCGGCGGAATGGGGACAGAAAGGGGCTGGGGAAGGTGACGGGAGGGCGGCGGGTGCCCAGGACAGCCCGTGTGACCCGGGAGCCTCCCTGTCCCGTCCCCCGAGTCGGTTCAGCCGACCAGAGCAGCGCCCGGGCCCCAGGTCGGACCCCCAGGGCCAGGCGGGTGGTGACTCACTGGACCCCGAAGGGCAGCAGCAGAACCGCCAGGCTCTCGCACAGACCCTCCAGCGCGAACTTGCTGGCACAGTACACAGCGTTGAAGGGCAGCCCTGGTGGGCGACTCAGGTTTGTGGAGGCCGGCCACGCCCATCGGCCCACCCCTCCAGTCTTTGGCCCCGCAGCCAGTCCCAACTGGGCGAGGTACCAGCAAGCCCCGCCCCTCCCTAGCTTGTCACCAGCAGCCTGCTCTTGGATTGGATGTGACTAGTGTGTGCCACGCCACCCAAAACTCCCGCCCCTTCCCTCCAGCATTTTCCTCTGGTTGGGCCTGGTCTGCGCACACCAGCAAGTCCCACCCACGCTCCCCTGGCCACCCTCGGGCCACCCGCGGGCTGGGCGTGGCCTACACAGAGCCCGCCCGGCCCCGCCCCACTCACCCATCAGGCCTCCCACGCTCCCAGTCACCAGCACGCGTCCCGAGCCGCGCCGCTTCATGTCCGGCAGGAAGGCCTGCACCGTCCGCACGGTCCCCACCACGTTCACGTCCAGCACGGAGCCCACAGCGCCCAGCCCGTGCGCTTCCAGCGGCCCAAGGAGCCCGCGGCCCGCGTTGCACACTGCGGGAGAGCCGACCGAGTGTCCGCCCCGCCCAGCCTGTCCCTGGTGTCCCCGCGCAGGAGGGCTCTGCACGTGCGCTCGGGGGACCCTCACCCAGCACGTCCACGCGGCCCTCTACCACGCGTGCCCGGGCAGCCGCCACTGAGTCCGAGTCCCTCACGTCCAGCTGCAGCGTCTCCAGGGTCCCAGGCGGGCAGTGCCGGGCCCGGGCCGCCTCCCACAGCGCGCCCTGCGCTGCCAGGTCCCGCATGGTGGCATACACTGCGGTTGGGGTGCGGTCAGCGCGCCCGGGCCCGCATGGTGGCGAACACTGGGATGCAGGGTGGTGGTCAGAGGCCCCTGCCCGCCCCGCCCTCCCGGGCGCCCCCACCCATACCTTTGAAGCTCCCGGACGGATCCGAGGCCAGGCGGACGGCCAGGTGCAGGCCGATGCCCGAGGAGCAGCCGGTGATGAGCACCACGGTGCGCTCCGCAGGGTGCATGGCGCAGCGCTCTGGGGCTCAGCTGGCCTGGGGCTCCTGATACCCTCACTGTCCCCGCCCCTTGTTGTGTCTGCCTGCAATCTCAAGGCCACTCACCCGCCTGGTCAGGGCAGCCCACCCAGCCCTGGGGCAAAGTCAGGGAACCCCCTTGACTGGCCTGGAACTGACCCTGGTGCAGTGAGGGAGTGGGAGCACCGTGTAGGGAGCGTGGGGCCCCCAGGCACAGCAGCCAGCTCATGGGCGCTCTGGTCCTGAACAGTTAGGCCCAGGCTCCCTGCCGCACTGGGAAAGGGTACCCTCTGTTCAGACGCTAGGGGTCAGCAGGAGAAGCGGAGACTGAGGCACAGGCGAGAACCGCCCACCCGGAGCCCACGCAGCAGCCCGGTCCTCAGAAGCCCCTCAGTGAGCTCCTTCAGACAGACCAGGCCCACTGCAGTTACCAAGTGACAGAAAACATCACTTTAATCCCAAATTGGGGTGGCCGAGGAGGCAGCCCATTCCTCTGCAAGCCACCCACGCCCCTGAGCCAGAGCTCAGCCCGTTTTCCCAGGACTGAGGTCCCTGAGATGCTGGTCCAGCTCCAGGCTCTGGATCCTGCCCCAGCAAAGTCTGGGGCACACGGCATGCAGCGTCCCTGTCACCTGGTGCCAGCCACCTTCCGGGGGGCAAACCTGAGGAAGGTGCTCCTGGCCAGCTCCACAGTGTCCCCCTGGGGCTGGCTGGGGTACCTCTTCCTGCTCAGCACGAAAGCCTGCTCCAGCAGGAAAACGTCGCTGTTGAACTGCTGCTGCTGGAAGGGGACACCCCTGGCCAGGCTGCTGGCCAGCGTCTCCACAAAGAGCCGCCAGCGGGGCACATAGTAGTCAGCCACCAGGCCCGCCAGCTGCTTGTTGGCGTAGTCCAGGATGTTGCCTTCCGGCCCCCACAGGGTCAGCTGGTAGCGGCTGTTCTGCTCATACAGATCGGCCTCCGCCGAGCTCACGGCCACCGCCCGGGCCTGCTCCAGCCAGCTGCCCAGCAGGAAGCGGTGGTCGCTGGCCAGCACCTCGTCCAGCGCGGGCAGGAGCTTGTAGGCCAGGACGCCCCCAGCCCTCAGCAGCCCCTCCAGCTCCTGGCGCATGTAGGCAGCCCGTGCCTCCTCGTAGTACAAGCTGACCAGCTCCTGCAGCCCCTGGCGGGTGACGTCCAGCAGGTCATAGCGGAAGGCCGGGCTGGCGGTCAGGTTGGGTGTGGCTTTGAGCAGCAGCCGCCAGGCCTCAAATACGTCGGACCGGTTGTACCAGACAGTGGTGTTCATCTGCAGGGATGGCCGCCGGACCAGCGGGCTGTGATTGTGGCCACGGCAGGCCTCGCCTGAGCAGTTGTAGACGCTGTGCAGCAGGAGTCTCCAGGCCAACACCGCATCTGGCTGGGCCACCCCATACCGCTGCTCTGCGAAGCGGGCCACCCAGGCCGACAGATCGGGCACCGGGTCTTTCCGCCAGCCCAGCTCCGCCATGAGCGCGTAGACCACCTCATTCTGGCCGATGCCCTCCGGTGCAATGCCCGTGCCCACCACGGTGGAGTTGGGGAAGAGGCGGGCGGCTGCAGGGCCCCGGTTCACAGCCTCCAGGGCTCCGAAGAGGCCGTGGTTGCCACCAAAGTTGTGCAGCATGCACCAGATGAAGGGCTGGCCCCCGAAGGAGGCCGTGCGGGTGTAGACGGGCTGGTTCTCGGCAAACAGGTCCAGAACCAGCAGGCGGCCCTGTGGCACGGCCCCCAGCACTGCCCCCACCTGGGCCGGGCCCCAGAACTCAGGCTGGTGCTGAAAGAGCCAGCCTTGGAGCAGCCACACAGCATCAGGGTCCACTACAGGGAGAAGAGGGGAGAAAGAGGGTGAAGCACCCCAATCCACAGAAGGAAGCAAAGGTCACCAGCACAACGCCAGCCCTGCGAACATGTGAGCCACCCAGAGGGCTGGTTAACACCTGCAACCCCAGCACTCTGGGAGGCTGAGGCAGGAGGATTGCAAGTTCCAGCCCCGGCTGGGAACTTGATATGACCATGGTGTTGAGAGGAGAGCCCTTTGGGAGCCGCTCAGGGTTAGATGGGTCCTTGGGTGGCATCCTGACTGAACTCTGGCATGATGAGAGAAGTGGGGAGCAGCGAGTACAGCGGTGATGGTCCCTGTGCTGCCTCCGGGCTCTGCCCGCGGATGCTGTCCCACATGCAGCCTTGACCTCTACTCTGCCGTGTGGTCCCCGGCCCCACTTCATCACGGCAGTGAGACGTGGGCAGGTGGGGGACCCCAAGGCCCCCGCCCAGCCCTGTGGACTGCACCGTGCTGTGGGCTTGAGCCTGAGCTGAGGGTGGAGACCCTCAGGCTGTGGCCTGACCCCAGCCCCAGCCTGCACCACCCACTTCGGGACCCAGCCCGGAAAGCTTCCAGGGAGCCAGCACTTGCGCCCTTGCAGACCTGGGCCCTCCCAACCACCCGGGCACCGCACCTGCAGTCATGGCTTCGTACACGGCGGCAGTGGCTGCGGCCAGGTAGGCAGGCTCAGAGGAGGGCGGCTGCATCTCATTGAAAGTGTCAGCCCCGTAGAAGTGGTCTGTGCCGAACTCCCTGTTTAGCTCCCGCAGGAAGAGGCTCCCAATGAGGGGGAAGAGGGGGTCTCCCGGAGCCAGAAGGAAGGAGCAGGAGTAGGAGCAGTTGAAGTGTCCCCAGCTGCCCAGCTGGGTGACATTGACCTGTGGGAACACCCTAGCAGGGAGCAAACACTCAGGTTACATCGTGGCCCGTGACCCCAGCAGTCTCACAGGCCCATGTACAGGTCCTAGATGCGTCCAGGTCCTCGTGCCCCAGAGCCTTTGCATGTGCCATGCCCACCTTGCTTATCTACTTGGGTCTTCCACACTGTCCTCTGAGAATCACCTGTCTAAAAAGCTTCTGCTAGCTCTGCCCCTCTGGCCAGCTCAAGGGAGCCACTCTCCTTCCCTGTCTGAGCTGGGTCTGGCAGCCTGAGGTAGCTAGAAAAGCTTTCACTGAGTAACCAAATGAGGGTCCTGCAGGGACAGCCAGCAAGGCCCTGGCACAGGCTAAGCCCAGGGACTGGGGCAGGGACCAAGACTCCCAGGCATGAAGGTGGCTCCTGGGGGAGCTGCCAAGGTCTCCCACCTTGGGAGAGAGGAGGGCGTGCAGCTGAGGGACAGAGACCCATGTGCCCCCTGTGGCCAGTAGTAAAGTGGCCACGTGCTAAGGCCCCATGCTGAGTCTCACAGAGCGAAGTAGCTATGCAAGGCAACCGAGGCTCAGAGCCGCCATGGAATCTGCACTCACAGGCAGGTTGGGAATGGCCAGGAACCAAGCTTGGACCCACACACGGAGCCCAGATTTCCTAACTCATGGCTTCGAGGGGCCAGTGTCCCGGGAGCTCACCTGGTGACAGCTTTAGGGACATGCCCTGCGAAGGCAGGCAACACGGGCGTCATGCCCAGCGCACGCATCCGGTCCAGGACCCGGTGCTGGGAGGAGGAGGGGCCAGTGAGCAGGACCCAGGCCCACGGCCACGGGGCCGGGACCCTGCCCATTCCTCCCGCCTGCTACCTGCAGGTAGAGCTGCTTGAGGTGCCAGGCGTGGGGCAGGGGTCCGCCCCAGCCATGCAGGTTGCCCATGCGGCCCCAGGCCAGGAAGGCTGGGCCCGTGAAGTGCTGGTCGATCTCTGCCTGCGTCAGGCCCAGGGCCAGGTACACCTGGGGAGCCAGCATGTCACGGGGTGGCAGTCTCTATGCACCCAGTGAACTCACCGCCTGCCTCCGAGGGCCCGCCCAGCTCTGGGAGACAGGGCCAGGCAGGCTCGTTCACTAAGGCTTCCGGAGCCTTTGCTCAGCGTGCCAGATGCCACACGCCCAGCCAGGCCTGGGTGTCGGGTAGGCAGGGCGGGGCGGGGCAGGGGGGGGAAGGGCAAGTGGACACGAACCCGCTGCCAGATGGCCTCCTGGCCGCTCCAAGCCAGTGCCAAGTTGATGCCGTGCAACGCCATCCAGTCGATCTCCCGCTCCCAGCGTGCCCAGTCCCACCACACGAAGGAGTAGCTGTGCGTGCACACATTCTGGTAGTAGCGGTACCTGAGGGTAGGCGGCAACTTGGTGCTATGTAATTATATATAATATTTTATTATATATATTTTTTGAGATTGGGTCTCACTATGTAGCTCAGCCTGGCCTTGAACTCACGGTGATCCTCCTGCCTCTGCCTCCCGAGTGCTGGGTTGACAGGAGAGCACAATTATGTGTGGGTGACAGAACCCCGTTGGCCAGGTTGGTCCCTGTCCTGGAAGGAAGACGGCTCCCTCCCCTCGGTCTGATGGGAACCCGGTGAGTGAGGGGGGCAGCACCATCAAGGGGTGGGACAGGAAATGCACGGGTCACAGCTTCGCACCTGGGGCTTCTCGCCCGCCCGTCGACACATGCACGCGGCCCCCTTCTCTGGGCTCCCGGGTCGGGGACCCTCGGCCCCGGGAAAGGAGTGCGGCGCCCCGTACCTGTAGGGCGAGGCCTCTGTCAGCTCACCGGGCACCGCGGGCAGCGGGCGCGGCAGGCGCAGCTGGGCACCCGACCAGGCCACGTGGCAGCCGCAGAAGTCGCGCAGATAGCGGTGCAGCCCAGCGGCCGCCGCCACGCCCGAGGAGCCGCGCACGCGCACTCGCGCGCCGCCGCCGCTGAGCACGAAGACGTCGGTGCCCGGCCCGGCCGCCAGGGTGCGCTCCACCGACAGCGCGAAGGCGGCTGCGGGCCCGGGCCCCAGCAGGCGGGCCGCGAGCGCACGCACGGCCGCCGTCTCCCGGGACTCGTCGCCGGCCGCGCCCCAGGCCCCGGCCCTGGCCAGTAGCAGGAGTCCCAGGAGCCCCAGGAGCAGCAGGAGCTGTGGCGCAGTCCCCATGCTCGCAGCCCCGGCAGGGGGCCCAAGACTGCCAGGAGGGGCGGGGCGGGGCGGGGAGACCGCCGCCAATCAGCTGCTGACCGCGGGTCACGTGACCGTGAAGCCTAGCCTGGGCTAGAGACTCCGCTTCCCGGCCGGCTGGCCCGGCGGGGCTTCTGGGGCGCCCTCGGTCACGAGCCTTTCCCGCCCATCGCTGTCTTCCATCTCCCACCGTTCCTTAAGGGCAGGTGCTTTTTTTCCTGAATCTCCCCCACCCAGTACATACATATTTGAACTTTTTGGTGTTTTGGTCGTACGTGGGGCGGGGGGGGTGTGTGTACCCAGGGCCTTTGCACTGTGCTACATCCCTAGCACTTTTTCATTTTATATATATTTTTTTCTGGTACCAAGGATCGAACTCAGGACCTTGGACTTGCCAGGCAGGCGCGGCGCCACTGAGATACATCCCCGGCCCTGTATTTTATATTTTGGCTCTAAGTCACTAAATTGCCGCGGCTGGTTTCCAACTTGCAGTTCTACCCCAGCCTCCCAGAGTGCTGGATGACAGCTGTGGGCCCTACTTGATTTTGTGTCAGGCGCTGCCATGGCTGTTGGGCTGCTGGTGAAAGGCAGCAGACCCCGATCCTTATCTGGGGGTACTTGGCTGAATAAATTAAGATTTATCTACGCTATAAAATATTAAGCTTTTTAAAGCATTTTTTTTGGTCTTTTTTTGGTACTGGTGATTGAATTCAGGACCTTGTGCTTGTGAGGCAGGCGGTGGCACCACTGAGCTAAATCCCTGGCCCCCCAGAAACAATAAGAAAGGAAAATGAGGAAGATGTTAATGAGGCTCAAAAAATGACACCCATGAGCCTGGGGTGTGCCTGCTGCAGTCCCAGCACTCATGAGGCTGAGGCAGAACTGCAAGTTTGAGCCCAACATTAGTAAGACCCTGTCTCAAAATAAAAAAGATTACTGGGGGGGGGGGCCGGTGTAGCTCAGTGTGCAGGCCATAGGTTCAATCCCTAGTGCTGAAAAAAGAAAAAAAAACAAAAACCAAACACAAAAAACATAGCCCAGTGTGGCAGCTCATGCCTGTAACCCAGCACTCGGGAAGATAAAGCAGGATGGTGAGTTCGAGGCCAGCCTGGACTACACAGAGACCCCCCATCACAAAAAACAACAAACACACACACAACCCCCCCGACTCTTTCTCTTGTCCATCTGTCTTTTGTTACAGTTTGCCGTGGGGAAGCAGCAGCTGGAACGTGGTGGGCTGACCCCACGTTCTGCAAGCTGTGTGTTTGTGGAAAGCCAAGCTGGGAAGGGTTGTGTGCTGAGGCCCCAGCTGCCAGGCAGGGTGAGGCTCGAGGTCGCCTGAGCCTTGGAACATGAGCCGAGCCTGGGGCAGCCCAGCTCAAAAAAACGGGGCGTTTAAGTTTGTATTTATAAAACAAAAAAGCCCTCTGTAAACAGTGGTGCAGCCGGTGGAGAACTTGACTGTTAGATCACGCTTACTTCTGTAAGATCCCTTTTGGTCGGCCTGACCCTCTCTCCCTGTGACGCGATGCGCCGTGATACTCCTTGAGCTCAGGCCCGTGGCCCTGGGCCGGCCGTGAGCTGATTGCTCCTCCCTCTTCCAGCGGGCCTAGACCAGGGGGCGGGCGGGTCGAGCGCTTCCCCGCAGGGCCACCAGGGGACGCCTGGACCTCATCCTTCCGTGGTAGAGAGCCCCTCCTGCGTCGCAGGGGACCCGCGCATGCGCCGCCTGGGCCTCTCGCCTGAGCGCCACAGCGAATAAAGCTGTTAGAGGAGCTTTGTACAGGTGTTGCACGCACGTTTTCATGTTTCTGGGAACGGCTGGGCCCTATGTTGGCTCCATGTTTAACGTTTCCCGGAACCACGCCATTTACACGCAGGGAACGAGGTGTCTGGCTGCCACCAGCACATGCTGCGCTTACTTCCTACTTCAGAGTGTGTGTGTGTCTCGTGTTTTGAGACAGTCTCACCTTGTAGCCTGGGCTGGTCTTGAACTCTTGATCCTCCTGCCTCTGCCTCCCTGAGTGCTGGGAGTACAGGCTGCCTCACCACACCTGGCTCTTTGCTGTGGTTTTGATTTGCGTTTTGTTTTTGAGACAGGGTCTCCCTATGTAACTGAAGCTGGCCTGAACTCACTGTGTAGCGCAGGCAGGCCCCTAAGGAGTGGCGATCCTCCTGCCTCAGCCTGAGTGCTGGGGTGACAGGCGTGGGCCACTACACCCAACTCGATCTGCATTTTTGTAATGACTAATAATGTTGGGCATCTCGTCACAGTTTCGTAATCACTCGTGTAACTTATTTGGAGAAATGCCTGCTCAAATCCACTGCCGGTCATAGGTCACAAAAAGCCATCATTATTCTGGGCTGTTTATCTGTTCCTGATATCGGGTCAAGACCTGCACACATCTACCTCGGGGCTGTCTTCCGTGTCCTAGTTCTGACCTCAGCGGGTGCAAATTCTCAGTTGTGTCGAGAATGGCGCATCCGCGGCCGTGTGCAGGCTGGGGGTCACTCACTCCCTGGCCATGTCGGCGACTCCCCTCGGGTTTGCGTTTGCGAGGGGGGGTGACCGGACAGGGTGCGGCTCAGACCCTTGGGGAAGCGTCCTCTCCCCACAGCACCGCGGTCTCTGTGGAAACCAGGCTGCCTTTGGTGTTCAGCTCGTCCGGTGCGCAGTGCGGAGGCGGCTTGGGTCCCGAGGCCGCGGGCAGAGGCTTGGGGAGCCGTTTTGTGTCCGCCGGGACTCAGGGCGGGCGCTGCGTGTGGACAGCCCCCCCCCCCCCAGTGTCTGAGCCTCCCCGGGCCTCCCGCGTGAGGCCAACGGCACCCTGGCTCAAAATAGCCCAGCTGGGAGCCGAGCAGGGCGTGGGCGAGGGAGCTGCCGGCCCTGCCGAGGGAGTGTGGGGGAGGGGGAGAGGGAGAGCCCAGAGCCCAGAGCCCAGAGCCCAGCGCCCAGCCCCCAGCCCCCAGCCCCCAGCCCGGCACCCGGAAAGCGGCGCGGCAGGTGGGACAGCAGGGTCGGGGTGCGGACACTTTATTGAGCTCGGGTAGGGACAAGGGGGCGCGGGGTGGCCCTCTGCGGGCGGGGCGCCACCTTCCCTGCCCCGCCTCAGGCCCAGGCATCCGGGGAGTCGGGGCCGGGGCCCCAGGACCGGGCGCCCGAGCCAGGAGGAAGCGGGGCTGGGGTCCCGGATGTGGGAAACACCAGCGCCCCCTCTGGACAGAGCCTCCCGCCCCAGCCCGGCCTAGGCGGCAGCAGGCGACCTCTGTGCTCATCCAGGGACACGCGGGGGAGGTGGCGGAGTCACAGACACGGGGGCACAATTCATCACGGAGGGGACGGGGCAGGCTCACGCCGTCCAGCGGCTCACTCATCCAGCTTCCCTTCCCGGATGTGCTCGAAAGAGAAGGGCACGAACTTGAAGCCGGTCCCACTGTAGAATTTATTCTGGAACTCGACCCTGGGAAGAGGGAAGGGGAAGCTGTCGACCTGCAGAAGCTTTCTTTTCCCTTTAAAATCATACTGGGAAAGCCGGGTGTAGTTGCACGCCTGTGATCGCAGTACTCCGGAGGCTGAGGCAGGAGGATCACTGTGAGTTCGCCAGCCTGTGCTACAGTGAGTTCAAGGCTACCCTGAACTATACAGGGAAACCCGATCTCAGAAAGAAAGAAAAAAAGTACTGGGAGTTGATCCCAGGGCATTTGCACTGAGCTATATCCCCAGCCTATTTCAGTTTAAAATTTCAGACAAGGTCTGGCTAAGTCACTGAGTTCCCCAAGCCGGGCGGGGACTCACAAGCCTCCCGCCTCAGAGTCCCAGTCGCTGACACCACAGGTGGGCGCCGCCACACCTGACCACAGAAAGCTCCTGAACCTTTCTGGGACTCCCAGGTGCCTCTGAGCCCTTCTCCCCGAAGCCCACGGCTCTCAGCGCGCCCCCCACGTCAGGAGCCGCCGCAGGGTCTGGCGGGCTCTGGAGCTGCTGGGTGCGCGGCACTCGGAGTACAGCCTCTCAAAGGGAGCCCCCTGCAGGGACCCCAGACTGGCTCCCCGGAGAAAGCAGTGGGTGGGAAGTGAACTCTGAAGCCTACAGTGAGGGGGGAAATTCCCAGGGACACGGGGAAGTCGGCGGGGAGTCCTCAACCCCAGGCAAACACGCTGCGACCACACAAACATCTGTGAGAACTCTTCTCCTGGGACTGAGGGGAAAGCAGGCCCGGCGCCCGCCCCGCGGCCAGCAAACCGCCAAATATGGGCAGAAAAACGCGCTGCGCAGGCGAGGCCAGGCGGGGCCCTGCAGTTTCCACCGGCACCGGGCAGGGCGGGGCAGCCTGGGGGTCCGGGTCACTCCCCCCACACCCTCAAAATCTTTCCCAACAGCCCAGCTCCCCAGGTTGCTTCTCCCCGAGGCTGTCTCGAGGAAGTGTGTCCCAGAGGCTGGACGCAGCTTCCACTTCGGCTTTCACTGCAACCCCTGCGGGTAATGCAGGTGGTGCCACAGCCCCCGCTCCCGTGGGGGGCCGCCCACCCGTCCTGACTTCCGGCCTGGGCCTGGGATCACACCACCGCCTGAATTTACCCTAATTTCCGGGTGGGAGGCAGGGGCAGAGGTGCCCTCCCAGGTGGCTGGGGTCACCCTCTCGGGCCCCTCTGCTTCCTCCCTGTACCGGCCCAGGCCACCCTTCCGCCCTGCTGAGGGAGCTGGAGAGGGGGTGCGGCACCCGGACACCCGGTGCTTGTCCTTCTGTCTCGGCCGTGCCAGCCCTCACGCTGGCCAGGCAGGCGTTCTAGGGCACACGGAGCCCTACCAACCTCTTGGGTCCGTCCAGGGTCAGCCTGACCGCCCCCCTCACCCCAAGGCCAGGGCCAGGGGCAGAAAGTGGCTTCCCCTCTTCCCTGAGAGCTGCTGTCCTCTTCTGCCACACCCACGCCCTTCCTCCCAGAGGGCGTCCAGAGGGGGTGCAGGGTCCGCCCGCACTGGGCTGCAGTCTGGAGCTGCACCCAGGGCTCTCGCTCCTCCCGCCACGCGCCGGAGCTGAGTAACCGGAGAGCTCCCCACACGCGTGGGAGCTGAGACCCGAGGGGCTCGGCTTCCTGGGAAGGGAGGCGAGGAGTGGGGTCTTGTGTTCACCTCAGCTGCAGTCTGAGCCGTTAGATGCCTCCCTTCTCCGAGAGGAGAGGAGACATGGCCCGCGGTGGGCGAGGCAGCTAGGCGATGGAGGGGTCACAGCTCGGAGACCCTGGCAGGTCAGTGGCCGACCAGCTCACCTGCGTGGGCACCGCATCCCTGTCCTTTGTTCCCTCCCTCCCGCAGCAGCGGGGATTGAACCAGAGTGCTGAGCCAAACCCCAGCCCTTCTGATTTTATTCGGAGACAGGGTCTTGCTAAGTTGCCCAGGCTGGCCTTGTACTTGTGATCCTCCTGCCTCAGCCTGCCGAGGAGCTGGGACTCAGATATGGGCCACCAAGCCATGTCAGCCACCTTCTTATAATTTTTTAAAAATCTCAGAATATGGTTTTCTGTTATCAAATCAAATGTTTTCCTCTTGCCCCAGAAAGACCCAGAACTCCTGGGACAGCTCCTCCAGTTAAGTCAGGAAACCCCAGGGAGGAGGCAGAGGCGGGAGGATGCCCGTGTCAGCCAGCAGGAGTCGCAGCCACCGCGCAGGCCAGGCGGGGTTCCTGTGTTTTCCCTCCTCGAGGGCACTCCGGGGCCTGACAAAGTGCCCTGCATGTGGGGAGTGGCTCCTTGCCCACTACCCCAGGCCCACAGATGGCATCGTGAGCCTTGAGGGGCTCCCGCTCCCACACAGGCTCGGGTAGTTTCCCCTGGCGCCCTCTCTGAGGTGGCCACGCCTGCCTAGGCAACTGCTTCGGCCCTTAGCCTGGTGCAGGGGTCCTGGGTGCCAGCAAGAGACCTTCCTGCAGCACAGCTGGGGGACAGTGCCACCCGGCCAGGGGCCAGGAGCCAGGCAGAGGGCAGGAAAGGAAGGCGGGGAGGGCAGGAAAGCGTGAGTCACCAGGGCGCGGAGGAAGTGTGGCGCTGGCTGATAAGGGGGGAGGGCCGGCCAGGCCCCCAGGGAGCAAGTGGCCTGCACCACCCTGCAAGCCTGGCTCCCCGCAATCTGCACAGCCATGCGGGGTCCTGTGAGGTGCTCGGGGGACGCCACAATAGTGGGGTCCCTCAGGTTGGGGCACTGCCCAGGTCTTGAGCTCAGTGGCACCGAGGTGACTTCGCGTCGGCCTGGGGGGGGTGGGGGGCTCAGCGAGTCTGTGGCCTTTTCCCTGCAGGACATGGTGGGGTGTGAGTGACCTCTGGGAACCGTGTCTAGAGTCCCAGAGGCTCCGGGGTTGGAGACCCCAAAACAGGAGAATCACAACATGGAGCTGGGCGATTATAACTTCAGCACAGAGGGAAGCTGAGGCAGAAGGGTTGCAAGTTCAAGCCCTGCTGGGCAACAAAGTGGGACCTTGACTGAGCTCAGTGGCGGAGCACCCCTGGGCTCAGTCCCCAGTGCACAAGGAGAGGAGGAGGGGATACGGCACAACGCGAAGAAGGAAGTGCTAGCTCCAAGCACTGGGACAGGCTCCTACTAGAATCAGACTTACTCAAGGGCCCTGGGTTCCTCATTATGTCTGGCGACCTCCACTGAGGCCACCATCCCAGCGCAGCGCAGCCCGGACCCCAGCTCTCCTTCCCTACGCCCTCTCCATGCAAGGCCTGTGAGTGTGCAGCAGGCTGGGTGTGGCGGTGCCAACCTGAGACCTCCCACGGGGGAGGCTGAGACAGGAGGATCCTGAGTTTAAGGCTGCCCTAGACTGCACAGCAAGTCCCTGTCCCAAAAAAATGAAACTAAATAAAACAGAGTGCTGAAGGGTGCCCATGGCTGGGACTCCCAGGAGCCCAGGGCAAGACAAGTGGGCCTTTCCTGGGCTCCCTCCATGTGCTGCCCGGGCCCATGGAGACGCCGGCCCCAATCCCGTTCTGGGGGTTCTGGGGGGGCCAGCCCGGGCCCCTGCCCGCCACTCACCAGTGCAGCCGCAGGGCATGCAGGAAGGCTGACAGCCCCTCCATGATCAGCAGGATGGCCACGGTGAGTGTGGCGAAGGAGGCGAAGATGAAGAAGAGCACTAGGCTGCCCGCCAGGCTCTTCACACTCAGGCCGATGTGGATGACCATGGTCCACAGCACCTCAGAGAGCTCTGGGGAACAGACAGCGGATCCCGTCAGCCTGGGGCCAGGCTGGGCCCCGTCTCCCTGGGTCAGGGACCCGTAGTCCGGACACACTCACGTGCGTGGGCCAGGCTGAGAGCCCAGAGCCGCAGGTAGGAGGCGGTGTTGGAGATGCAACCTAGGCAGTACTCGATGGTGTGGATAGCCTGGTGGACCATGGTGTCCCCGAAGTCAAACTGTGGTGGAGGAAGCCAGAGAGAGGCCATCAGACCAGGAGGGGGCTCTGCAGAAGCCTGGGCCAGCTGAGCAGGGCTGGGCACTGAGCTCCATCCCCAGCAGACAGGGTCTTGCTAAGTCACTAAGTTGCCCAGGCTGGGCTTGAACTTGTGAGGCTCCTGCCTCAGCCTCCCAGAGAGCTGGGAAGACAGGCGTGCGGCCCCATGGCTGGCTCATACCCTATCTTAGTGCATTTCTTCTCAGCACTGTCTCCCAGCCGGCTGCAAGCTCCAGAGCAGAGGCCTATCAGGGCACTTCAGAGGGGCCGTGCGCCTGGCCGGCTGGTCCCGAGGGCTGGGGAGGGGCCCAGGCTGCCTGCTCAGTGTGAAGCCTCCTCAGCCTCTGCTCTATTTGCAGCCTTTGGGGTCACGGTGGTCTCCTTCCCCTGACTTCTGAGGGATCCCAGGAGCAACAGTCCTGGGGTTCTGCCTCCCACACCTCGTCTTCTGGGGCCTACACTGCACTCTCTCGGGGAGCACTTCTGGGTCTGCTTAGGCGTGGGGGGGCGCGTCTGGGTTCAGAAGGCTTCTTCTGAAAGGGCCCAGCAGCCATCCACACCAGGAGGCCCTCACCGAGCTCCCCCAGGCCGGGCCAGTCCTCTGGGCTCCTCCTGAGACTCAGCAGCTGCCCCAGCCCCAGGTCAGGGTTTGGTCTTCACTCCCATTTCTGCCCAATTGAGGGTCTGGATGGGTGGAGCTACAGGGCGTGGCCAGAGAGGAAGGGGGCTCATTGCCCCTCACCATGACTCTGCACCCCCTGCACTTCCAGCTTCTCACAGAGCAGCTCCCCCAGGCCGCCTCCTCGCCCAAAGCCGCAGTGACCCAGGCATCCCAAGTTCCCAGCCCCAGCTTCGGCCGGCGTGAGGACAGGAGGGGCAGCCTCCTTCAGCACAGCCCTCGCCTGCCCTCCCCACCTGTGCGCCCTGCTCTGCAGCCCTGGGCTCAGGCTCCCAAGGTGAGGAGATGAGGGCTGTCACTCAGCACCCCAGCCTCCTCTACCTCAGTTTCCCCAGCTAGGCCTTCTGCTCTGCCCTCAGTCCCTTCTTACTTCCTAGGAGCTGAGTCTCAGAGCCACTTTGCGGCATGGGCTGTTGCGATAGCCGGGCTCCCCTGCATCTCCAGACCCTCCTCCAGCTCTATCCCTGCCAGCCCCTCTCAGGTGCAGCCCCCAGGGACTCCACGCCCCACACTGTCAGCCATGCTCTTCTGCCCACACTGGGCTGGACTGACTTGTCATTGCCCAAGTCCAGGGGCCCTGACCCTGTGCCCCTTCCTCCAGGCCTAGCTTCCACCTCCCACAGCTTCAGGCTGCTGGTCCCTACCTGCCCTGCTGTCCCTTGCCAGGAGGGGCATCTCAGCATGGCACTGCACCTGGGCACCATCTCTCCTGCTCCTGAGGGCCTGGCCCAACGTGGCCTACACCCGTGTGTGGCCAGCTCTGCAGCCTGGGTTCACCTCTCCCCGTCCCTGCTCATGCTGTGCTGGGCCTGCACCCTCCGAGGACTGCTGCTAGGGCCCAGCTCAGGGAGACTCTGGGGACACTCTCCAGGTCTCGCCCAAGTCACGCAGTACCTGGCCACCCCCATCACAGTGCTTCTTGGCTGAGCGCCCCACTGCTCTGGGGGCCCCTCAGAGGCGGGCTGCTTCCTCCTCGGTTTCTGCAGCCGACCCAGAGCTGAAGAGCCCACCAGGCGGGCTGGTGACTGCACGTGGCCCTGGCTGCCAGGCTGCTGTCCTCAGGGGACCCCAGCTGCCCCCCCAGCTGGATACAGCACCTCTCGGAGAGGAGGACAATAGCTGGCAGGGAGGCCAGGTGCTGCGGCCGGCCTGTGGGAGCTGAACAGGGCTGCTCTGCTAGAGGCCACCACAGTTACCTGCCCACCCGGCACCAGGCTGATAAGGTGGAACCTGTGAGGCCAGGCAGCCCGCAGCCAGGAGCAGCGCCAAGCCGGGGAGGCTAAGTGGGCCTCTCCCGCATGTCCCAGCCTGGGCAGGGCTGCAAGGGGGACCCTGGCACCACACAGTTGGCTGCACCTCTGACGGTGGCCTGGGCACAGGGTGCCAGGAAGCCAGCAAGGCCCTTTTCAGCCTTGGGGACCCGGTGCTCCATCTCCATCAGAACAGCAGAGGCGGCCACTGCTCAGGCCAGGGAGGGGAGGCAAGGGAGGAGAAGGAAGGAAGGAAGGAAGGAAGGAAGGGCGGGCTCACGGGGCAGGTGTGTCAGAGAGAAGTTCTGCAGGAAGATACAAACAGCGCAGAAAGGCCTTTTAGACCCAGCTCAAAACACGCGGCCCTCAACAGACCCCTGCCAAGCTAGGAGGCCCTCGCTCTAGACTCAGCCTGCCTCCGGCTGGCTTTCCTGCACCCTGCATGCACCCAATGGGTGAGGCCTCCCCCTGAATGCTGCCTCCCTTGTACCGACCTGGCCCATGGCAGGGCCGGCCAGAGCATTAAGCAGTGGAGGGCGGGTGTGCTCAGCTCACAGAGGGCAGGACGCACACAGCCACCCGAGGCTCCTGGGACAGGAGGTGGAGGCCAGGATGGAGCCCTGGCTGAGAGTGCGGGCAGACTCAGAGGTGTTAGACCAGCAAACCCATGACACAGAGACGGGTGATGACAGAGAGGCAGTGATGGAGATGAGCGGAGCACAACACAGGCGCAGCGGGGATGGCAGTGGGATGCGGGCGTGCGGGCCCAGGGTGGTGGGTGGGGTCAGCAGAGCGCTCACAGATGGGAGAGGAGAGGCCCGGAGAACAGACAGCTTTGTCTTACCACTGCATCCTCGGCAGGCTTGAAAACACAAATTCACACTTAGTGGGGAGCACGCCATGCCATGCAGGCTCAGTTAAGACATCCTCACTACACCTGCTCCTGGGGCGGGGCTGTGAACATGCAGTGGGGTTCGCGTGCTGGGGGTGCCTCCTCGGCAACAGCCAAGGCACAATCGGCAGTGGGGCCGCAGTGAGGCTGTTTCCAAGAAACCGTGCCACACGCGCTGGGAGCAGTCAGTGGAGTGCAGGCGGGTCCTCTGCTGCTGGCCACTCTGCCAGACAGTGAGTGCTGTGCTTCAGTGAGCAGATAACCCGCACAGCTCAGCTGGGGCTGTGGGGGACCTAACTGGCTGAGCCTGGAAGAAGCCTTAAGGGAAAGGCTGGTGTGGCCACACTCCTGCCCACTGTCCCTGTATAAAACAGGCAAATAACAAAAAAATCTCAAAGAAAACATCTGCAGGGAGAACGCACCCATGGGCTGGACCTGAGAGTGCCAGCGGGGGCCGCTGGTGAGCAGCGTGGTAAGTTGGTTGGTTGGTTTGCTGGGGATTCAGGTTGAACCCAGGGCCCCACACATGCGCACACTGGGCAAGCGCCCAGCCTGGGGCAGAGCAGCTGCAACCATTCTGAGAAGGGCGAGGGAGGAGAAGCCACCCGCAGGGCCTGTGTTCTGTGGGGAGCAGAAGAGCTGCGTGCGACCTCGGGGCCAGCAGAGAGAGGCTGTGGCAGGCTCCCAGCTGGTGTGGAGGGAGGCCCACGGGAAAGTGCGCCCAGGAGGAGCCGACTGTTAGTACGTTCAGTGTGCAAGGAGACAGGCGTGAGCCCCTAGGAAAGCGAGCCTGGGGTGACCCGAGCGGAGAGGAGCCCCGCCATCAAGCTTACCTCTTCCGCGTCCTCCGAGTGGGTGGAGAGCTGGTCATGCTGAATAATCTCAGCATCCTCCTCTGTTGGTCCGTTGCCCACCCTGATCCCACCAAAGTTGAGAGTTCCCTACACGGGCGAACAGAAAGAGTGGAATTTGCCTGGGCTTTAGGTGAGCTAGGTTCTGGAGGTGGGAAGGGCGTGGCCGGTGCACACAAACTTCAGGAGGCGCCAGCCACAGCCATGGGACCCACTGATCTGACACTGCCTACAAACCACTGCCCTGGCTGCACTCGGATCCACAACTCCATCTGCGGTACCCAGAGGCACTGGGCTCGCCGGGCAGCGCTGACCGAGACCCCTGTCAGAGACAGACCCTTCCCAGGGCAGCACCCCTGAACAGCCTGCAGTGTGTGAGCTTTCCCCAGGGGCCCAACAGGGGCCTAGGTGTCCTGGAAAGGCTGGGCTGTGCCCAGGAACAAGAGCTCCCTGGGCTGAGGACAGAAACAAGCTTGTCCACAAATTTATGACTACAAAGAACCTAGTTAAAAAATGGGAAAGAAATCAAAGGGGGCCCTCAGGGTGCTGCCTCCCCACGGGCTCTGGCCTGGCACTGCAGCCTCTGTCTCCCCAGGGAGTCTGCAGCGGAGGTCCATGGCCAGGGGGTTTTTTTTTGTGGGGTTTTTCTGGCACTTGGGACTGAACCTAGGGCCTTCATTAAATTCACTATATCGCCCAAACTGGGCTGGACCTTGTGATCCTCCCGCCTTAGCCTCCCAGACTGCTGGGATTATAGGTGTGCACCACCACACCCAGCTCCATACACAGAATTTTAAAGTCAACTTCATTTGAAAAATCGGGATTTACTGAGTCAAAAGGAGCCTAGGGGGCCAGAGATTTAGCTCAGTGGTTCTGCCGCCTGCCCGCAGGCCCAAGGACCCCAGTTCAATCCCTGGTACCAAAAAAAACAAAACAAAAGGAGCCCTGGGCAGAACTGGGGAGAATCAGACAGATGCCAGTGCTCGGTTATGGTGGCCCTGTGAGGAGCCCGGGGCGGCCTCACCGGCCTCTGCCGCCCGCTCCCTGCTCCTGCCCCTCTCCCTGGTGTCACCTCTGCCACTCCATGACCGTGACCGAGCCTGAGTCTGCAGACTCGCTGCCCGGCCGCGGGGCCCCCAGAGCACTTTGGCAGCTGCCAAGTACACAGGGTCTCTGGTCCTGTGCCCGCAGTGGTCGCCTCAGGAGGGCTGGGACCGGCACAGCGAGCCTGACTTGTAACACTGTCAAGGCTCCGCTGACGATAAACACTGCACCCTCAAGAGTTGGCAACCCCTGCTGGGACTCCAGTGCAGCTGAACTTTAAGACGACACACAGACTGGATATTCCCAGGCTGCAGTTTGTAGTGGCGAAGAACGGGGAACAACCAACATGTCCACAAACCAGAGTGACCACATAATTTTGGCCTATCCAGTGGAATGTCCTGTGGGATGCAAAGCTACAGGAAACGGAACAATCACCAGGATGAAACACTACGGAGACGGCTAACAAACTGTGGACACAGTGCTGCGTTTAAAACACAGCTCCTGCTGGGGCGGCCATTTTCGCACGGGCACTGGTGCTGATAAGCAAAGCCCCACTGCTGGCGCCCTCCGAGTGGGGGGGAGAAGGAGGAAGAGGAAGAGGGAGGAGGAAGGGGGGGGAGGAAGAGGGAGGAGGAGGAGGAAGAGGGAGGAGCAGGAGGAGGAGGAGGGGGAGGAGGAGGACAATGGCCACCACCGCAGGGGCGTCTGGGTCGGCACTGCATTCCTTCAGGCTGAGGCACCGGCTGCTTGTTTGTCTTTTTAATGTCAGTGGAGGCCTGTCTGGGTTATGGGATTATGGGCCACTTTTATGTTTTTCTTCTACTTATCTGTTTTGTTTTAATATTCTAAGAAATATGAGGTGCAATAACATTATGATAAGTTTTTAAAAACTTACTACAGTAAAATACATGCTGTCACGAGTCGTGCTCAAGTCCCCCTCCTCAAGTCCAACAGGCTTATGGCCCCCAGCACTTCCCGAGGCAGGTACAGAAGCCGCCCATGTCTGCGGCTGCGCTGCCCTGAGTCCATTCAAAATGCTAACCTTTCATGGTCATTTTGACTTTGGGGGGAGCCAGAAGCTGCACGGCACTGGATCTAGCAAGTAAGGTGGATGAGGACACCGCGCTGTGTTTTTATGAGCCGCCTTTCTGTTGGATGGTGCGTGGCAGTGGCACCTTATGCAGACGCTCACAAGAGGCCTGCAGAGCTACTCCAGAAAGGCGCAAGATGCTGGGGTAAGGGCAGCGTTCTGAGAGGAATGCACGACAGGATGTCTTTTACTGTGATAATTTTTTTATTTGAGACAAAGTCTTGCTTTGTAGTCCAGGCTGGCTTTGAACTCACTATGTAGCCCAGGCTGGCCTCAAAGTTGTGGTGATCCTCCTGCCTCAGCCTCTCGAGTGCTGGGATTACAGGTGTGCGGCACCACATCCAGCTACTGTGGTAATTTTTTTTTAAACACACACTTTATTTACCCACTGTCAGTTCAAAGCTTATTGTAACGCGCTGTCAGCTTTTAGAAGTACTGAAAGCTGGGCCCCCCTGATGGGCACATGCCTACCCTAAGGGAGGGCTAAGAGGCCACAGTGGGCCCCAGGGTGTCCCACAGCAGAGCCTGTCTGAGCAGCGTCCCAGGCAGGGGCTGCCTCGAGGGACACAAAGGAGCCCCACGTCAGCATGCAGGGCCGCAGCACAGGAAGGGGGGACAGTCAGCACAGAGAAGAGAAGGAAGACTGTGCCATGACGCCACTCACAGGCAACAGGGCGAACACAGGCCCGAGACAGCTGAGAGGCCACAGCCTCGCCCTTCGGGGCTGAGGTTCTAGGGCTCTTCCTGTGGTGCTGTCATCTGGGCTGCGGCCCGGCCCAGAAGCAGACCCTGCGCTGCAGAGGAGCGGGGAGGGAGCCCCTGTGGGCTCGAGGGCTCCAGATGGCACTTCCACTTGAGTTCACCCCAGAAGACAGTCCAGATCTTAAGGCATCAAGAGCTTCTCAGAAGCACCTTAGGTGCTCAGAGCAGTGGAGAGAAGACTGTGGAAGAACACTAGCAACGAGCGCACATCAAGGGTCTCCTTTTCACAGAGAAGGAGAGAGGCCCTACCTGAAAACAGTGTCAAGCAGGAGGAGGGAAACATCCTGTGCCCCACAGTATCAGTCCTTCCAGACTAGCTCCAGAGGCTGGCTGTGGGCTTCCGTGCTCAGGATGGCCAGGACCCCTCCCGGGAGGCACGGCCATCCCCCTTGTGTGTATGCATGTCCTACCAGGACACAGAACACACAGGTAATCGCTGCCAGGGAGGCTTAGAGAACTGAGAGTCATAGCCCGAAGGTCTTGGGCTACTCTGATGGTAGTGCCTTAGAAGACGGGTTAAAAGGGTTTTTAGGGACAAAAATCCAAATGCTTAACATTCTGTGTGCTGTTACTGAACCACAGTTAGTGTCTCGAAAGGGAAGATCAAGACAGAAGGCGACCTGGTCACCACACAGGAGACCCTGCGGGAGTAGAGGGCTCGGCAAACAGCTCAGCCCGTGAGACTCCTGAGCCCCTCCCGGAGAGGAGACCCTCTGCACTCGCGGTCTTGAGAGGAGCCACTGCTAACAAGCACCACATGTCCAAGCATCGCTCTGAAGCGGAACCCGAAGTACAGGGAAACTGAGTCAAGAATCAGATGCCCGCACTTCCGTGGTGAGAAATCGCCCACCATGGTCATGGAGCAGGACACAAGGCGGCTAAGCCGGAGAGCCGCCATCTTGGGTGGGACGATGATGGGAGCGAGAGCTCACGGCAGCCCTCGGCCCCAGGGACAGGGACAGTGCTGTACTTACTTCCGAAAAGGGACTTGTGGACAATGGGAACCAACACCAGTCTACTCTCAAGAGGTGGTGAGCTCTTCTGCCATCGTCTCAGAGAGGGACAGGACACACTTCCCAAGGGACACACGGCCCACACTGAACGCCATGACAAGGAAGCCTGCCGCACTGTTTGCACTCCTAAACACAGCGTGCTGCTGGCGGAGCTGGATTCACTCACTGGTGCAGCCGCTGCTGCCTCTAGTCCCTGCTGGCTCGGGGCTGGGCTGACTGGGGCCTCCTCGGGTTGCCCTTCCTGATGGTGATGGGAGAAAAGAAGGAGGGAGAAGAAAACAGAAGAGGGAAGGAGGGCGGGAAGGGCAAGCGAATGGGGGCACATGGAAGGATGAGGATGGTCAGGAGAGGGAGAGGAGAGTCTTGTAACTCACTGCTCTCTGACAGCCAGGTGTCACACACACACGCGGGGCATGCACAGTGCAGCTCGGTGCGCTACCGGCAGCCGGGCCCACTGCACTGTTCCCAGAATTCCAGTGCACACGCATGTGCAAGCACAGCTACGTATGTACATTGCTTTTTGAGAAGAAAAATACCAATATGCTTTAAAACAAACCTTTGCCCTGACACTCTGGTCGGAGTTTGGCTTTAAAAGGCGGAGTCTCAGTGTCAGGCCAGATCAGCCAGGTGAGGGGCCCGCCTGCAGCCCTGATCCGGGCTGGGGCTCAGGCTGCTGGGGCTCAGGCCGCATCCCACAGGCCCAGGCTGAGCTGTGGCCCGGTCTGCACCCAGCCCTCAGAGTGGCTGCGGAATCTGTGCCGGCAGTGCCCAGCAGTCGGGCTGGTTGCGGCACCAGTGTTTCTCAGAGACCTGGGTTCATGCCGTGCGGTGGTCCACGACTCGGGGAGCTGCCATGCAGCCTAGAAACTCAGACCCCAGACACTCACCAAGTGCTTCCGCCTCAGATACTGGTGACGCAGGACCAGTGGCTTCAGCAGCAGCATCCAGGGCACACACAGCAGCGCGACGACCACAAGGAAGCACTGGATTCCCTTCTGCGGGCCAGGAGGGCAGCACATCACGGAGTGGCCTGTGCCGGTCCCCGGACAGCACCCTGGGCATCTGCCAGAGCACTTCTAGCTGCTTGGCTAACTACTCGGGGTGGCACGGGAGCTGCCCAGCAGCCGCAGCTCTCACTGCCCTCATTCAGGTCCAGACACAGTGACCCACTGGGGCTGAGGGGCGGCCTGGACCCAGATCTGCACTCCAGGGCTGGGAACAAAGAAAGGTCTGGCCTCCCTCGTGAGGGAGCAGCTCCGCGCCCCGCCAGCCCACGCCCCGCCAGCCCACGCACCTGCCCAGAGTACAGCATGGCACTGCCCGACTCGGGGTAGGAGAAGAGGAACATGTTGATGAAGTGGATCAGAAGGCTGGGCGCAGTCTCCGATGTGCGCGCACTGTAGGCCGTCCACTTGTAGAAGATGAGTATGACCAGGTAGCCGAACAGGGAGGACATGAAGATGATCTCTGGGATGAACCCGAAGTAGATATTGAGGGGCTTCTTGAAGTAGCTAAAAGAAGAAGGGAAGTGTTCGGAGAGAAGGGTCCAGCAAAGGCCAGGGTGCGGAGTGCGAGGCCCACAGACCGGGGACCTCGGGCAGGAGGGCTCTGAGCCAACCCGCCATATAGCCCTGCAGACCTGGGGACTGAGCCTGGCGCCTTTGCACTGAGCTACATTCTGGGCCCTTTTTAAATGATTATTATCCTTTTATTTTTGAGACAGGAGCTCACAAAGTCACTGAGACTGGCAATCCTCCTGTCTCACCTCCCAGAGTGCTGAGATTACGGGTCTGCAGCAACCATGCTCGCAGCTTGTAATTTTACACATCAAGAAAGAAAAGGAATTCACTCAATCTGGTAGAGAAAATGCCTGAAGCTTTTTTCAAAGATCTTTATTACAACCATAAATTGCAAAGGACTAATAGTAAGTTTCATTTCAGACCACGAGGTTTTCTGTGTGCATGTGCGTGTGCGTATGTGTGTGTATGTGTTTGTCTTTGCTTTTTTGAGACCAGATATTGCTATGCAATTCAGTCTGGCCTTGAACTCTAGCCCTGGCTGGTCTTGAACTTCAAGACCAGCTTCCCGAGTGCTGACATCACAGGTGGGCATCACCACATCCAGCTAGACCATGGGATTTTTATAGCTAGGCATGGTGGTGCAAGCCTGTAATCCCAGCACTCAGGAGGCTGAGTCAGGAGAGCTTCTAGTTCAAGGCCTGGGCTACAGAGTGAGACTGGTCTCAAAGAAACAAAGGCCATGAGTTTTTACAGAATGCCACCTGCAGTGCAGGCTCAGGCTCTGAGTCATTAACCCTCCCGCAAACCACAGTGATGTCTTTGGGAAGAAGCCTCCTCCCCAGCACATACCTCCCCTCCCCAGCCCTGCCGCCAGACTCACATGTGGTTGAAGAGGCTCAGGCTGACCCCGAACAGCATGTGGATGATGCCCAGGACCACCGACATCTTCATCTTGAAGGAGTTGAGGAAGGTCAACTTGTTGGTGGCAATGTTCCAGATCTTTCAAACCCAAGCAAAGACAAAGCATCACACAAAGAACGCTCACGTGGGCAGACACCATTCATCTGTTTAGAAGAGACTTGTTTCAGTTCAGGAAATCCCGAACACGCACTTAAATACCAGGAGCAGCAGCAGCACCAGCAATGCAGGGCCCCGCCTGCCACGACCGGGGCCCCTGGGGAGCGAGGCCAACAGGCGTCACTCCGCCCGCCCGTGACCAGCCAGTGAGGTTGGAGAAAAGGCAAGAAGTTGGTTTTGAGACCTGACCATAGGGCGGTGTCACCCAGGAGGTGCTCATGTTCGAAGTGACGTTTCTCTCTTGGCGCCGGGGACAGACCCCAGGCCTCATGCACGCTGAGTGTGAGTCCTGCCACCAAGGAATGCCAGGCCCAGCGGCCGTTCTTCAGGCTCACAGACAGCGGTCTGCATGCAGACTCCTGCATGTCTGGGCTTCGTGATCAGCAACCTGTGCACCACGCCTCCCCTACCCACCTCGCCTTGGTCCCCACCACCTCTGCTGCGGCCCAGGGCTCTGTGCGGCCCTCCCCAGCCTGTGCCCTGCTGCTAGGTGCCACAGGTGCTCAGCCAGGGCCATGGCTGTGCCGCAGCCGCCCACATTCACTCTTGTCCCCTCAGGCCGGGTGCCCACTCTGCCAGCCTGACATTCTCTGCCCCGCTCAGCCCCAGCCACCTCGCCTGAGCCACAACTGTGCCCTGCGCCAGCACCTTCCAAGGCCCCGCTGCCGGGCTGAGGGAGCAGCACCACTTGTGTCCCGGCCCCCGGCACAGCTCCGGCCTGCGTGAAAGCGCGTCACTGTTCTCTCAGTTCCACGGCTCTGAACGGCTGGGACATGTGCGCTTGGTGCCCCGGTCCTTCTAGCACCTCCCTGTGCACCCGGGACCTCCGCGCACACCCAGGCCACAGCAGCACTCTCACACTCCCCGCTACATGGCAGGAGCTGGGGCTCAGACCCGCTTGTGCAGCAGACGCTGGGCCTTGCAGACCAAGGCCGTCCCGAAATGTCTGCCCAGTGAGTCTGGGAAGCATTCCTGAGCCCGGCAAACCTGTTCCCGGTGTATGTTCGGGAGCACAGTGTCTCCCTCAGAGAACCCAGGATTCAGTTGGATCTGCCAAGGTCTGCCTGGCACCAGGTCCACAGTAAGCGACTCAGTGACATCAGCTTGCCATCCATGCATTCCAGCAGGTGAAGCTGCTGTTACAATGAAACACAGTCAGCCTCAGCCTCCACATCCACAGCTCCACATCAGAGGACTCAACCCCAGCAGATCAGAAATATTCAAAGCAGGGTATGGTGCTGCACATTATGATCCCACCACTCTGGGAGGCTGAGGCAGGCCGCTCAAAAGTGGATCCCAGCCTGGGAAACTTAGTGAGACCCTGTCTCAAAATGAAAAAGAAAGGGCTAGGGACAGAGCTTAGTGTGAATGCCCAGGGCTCAATCCCCCACCACAGGCACGTGCACAGGCACAGAGCGGAGAGAATGAGTGCTGCGTCCCCGTGGGGCTCTGCTGCAGGGTGAGGTGGGCAGGCTGCCCCGGGGGCAGTGCTCACTGCTCTCTGACTGGGGACACAGTGAGGCCCTGCAGCTGGCGAGGACCCAAGTGTGACGCCTCTGAGGGGGAGCCCCGGGGGCTGCAGGGGCGCTGTGATGGGACCCAGACTTCACCCAGAAAGGCCCACAGCTTCTCCCTGCTGCATCCCATCTCCCTCAGGCCGAGTCGCTCACCTGGGAGCTCCCAGCACGGACACTGCTGCCTGTGGAGGGGCGGGCCCTACCTGCCACTCACCTTTGACTGAAGGGAGCAAATCAACAGCGACAAAATGGAATAAAATCCTTCATCGGCAGAAACATACAACAATTAATTGGCCTCTGCATAAAAAAACGACTTGCTGGGCCATGGATTTAGCTCAGTGGTTCCGCTGCTTGCCCATCCCCGGTACCAAAAAAGAAAAGAAAATTCAGGACGGAGTATACAATCTCCTGGGCACTGAGAAGTCCAGTGACTGGACACCCGCACTGGCCGTCCTTGCACCCGCAGTCATAAACATTTCACCCCAGATTCCTTAGGGCTTTCAATACATATTAACCCTAATTCCCTTCCCAGCTAGCTGCTGAAATCTCCTGATTTTAGTCTTTGCTTACATCTGGACTGGAATAAACCTTTTTTTCTCACAAAGCCTGTCTCCAAGTAGCTTCACAAATCCCAGCACTCAGGAGGCTGAGGCAGGAGGATTGCTGAGAGTTCAAGGCCAGCCTCCAGTGAGTCCAAGGTCACCCTATATAGTGAGTTCAAGGTCAGCCTAAACTATATAGTGAGACCCTGTCTTCTCAAAAAACAAAAAAAAGGGGCCGGGGATTTAGCTCAGTGGTTCCAGAGCCTGCTTTGAAAGCAGGGCAAGGTTTCAAGTTCGCTCCCCGGTAGCAAAAAAAAAAAAAGTAAGTTTCTGCAAGTTTATAAAGAATGAAAATCTGAAATCCACTGCAAGAGATACTTCTACTTCGTCAAACCATCTGAAAAAAATTTTTAAAAATGAAGTGAGTAGAAATGAATTGAGAACTGGGAAGGAGTGTCTTGAAAATCAATATTCCCAGAGCCAATATTTTTAGCTACTTCAGAAATATGCACTGTTGGAGCCTATAAACCCAGCTCTCAGGAGGCTGAGGAAGGAGGATTGCGGTGAAGTCAAGGCCAGCCTGGGCCACAAAGCAAGCCCCCACATCTCAAAAACAAAAACAAACAAACAAACAAACAAGCAGTGTTGGGAAAATATGTGGCTCCCACCACACTGGGTCTCGCATGGCTTGGAACCAAATTGAACACAACACGTCAGCTAGGAAGGACAGAGGTACTTGATTTCACTGCCCTTCCTTCAGGATGACAGCTGGGCTTCAAGGTGGGACACAGGCAGGAGTCTCACCGGATCGATGCCAAAAGGGTACGGGCCACCAAAGACGCCAGGCACGGCTGGGTTCAACTGCAGCGCCGGGTTCCCCCGGAGCGTCTCCTCCCTGCCAGAGAGGGAGGGAGTGGGAGCAGCAGGGCCCAGGACAGCCCACAGGAGGCCCCACAGCCACGCTGTCTCTTCAGCAGGCAGAGGGGCTGGAGCCGGGGGCCGGAAGGGGTCAGCCACAAGGACACACAACCAAGCGGGGACCGGGGGCCTGCTCTCCGTGTGCTAATAGTAATGCACACACTCCACGGGGACAGGAGGTGCTGAGCAGTGTGGAGGCCGGGACGCTGCCTCACTCCTTCCTAAAACCAGCACCCCGCAGCTCCTGGCTCCCCTGCGACTTACGTCCAGTTATAGATGGTGAACATCGGCCGCACACTCCAGGATGAGCCAAAGATGTTCAGGGACTTGGAGAAGCAGTCGTTGTAGATGAGGCCAGTGTAGGTGGAGAAGACGCCCATCAGCAGGATGATGTAGCGCCCGCTGAACACTGTGCTGAACATCTGCAAGCAGAGGCAGCGGTGGCGCTCGAACACACAGCCCCACCTCACCTACCCAGTCGGGAGGGGACACACCCTGCACTGCACGCACGGGGCCTCTCTTGTGCCAAGGTGAAGAGAATGTCTCTGTTCCCTTTGATGGTTTCATGGTAGGATTCCCGATGTAATTTTCATATCAATGCACAAGAAATGACACAGTTTCTGTCCCATGCAGACAGAACTTTGTTGCCCAGCCATAGCAGGGGTGGAATCAGGGCCTCCCCACTGAGCTGCGTCCCAGTCCCAGCCCTTCTCATCTGTGCACTTTGTATTGAGAGGGGACCTTGCTAAGTCACGCGGCCGGGCTTGACCCTGCCCTCCCCGCCTCCGGCCCCACAGACCCTGCACCCAGCAGAGGGAACCCCAGGCCACCTCATTCTCATTCTTCTGCGAAAGGATGCGGCTCTCCCTCAGCACCATCCACACCGCAAAGACAGTCATCAGGATGCCGTGGCCGAAGTCCCCAAACATCACGGCGAACAGGAACGGGAAGGTGATGATGGTGTATGGAGCTGGGGAGAGGCCACAGGGCACGAGTGCGTGGGAGAAGCAGCTCCCAGCTGAGCCCACTCGCATCAGGCATCGGGCCCACCCTCACCGAGAGAAGCGGCAGTGCATCAAGCAGCTGCACCTCCTCTACTGCTGAGCCACTTCCCAGCCCTCAGCCCATCTAACAGTGAGCTCTCCAGAGGGGAGAGAGACCTGTGCCAGAAATGGCCAACAGCTGCTGCGGGTGCCCTGTGCACCCTGGGAGATGCAAGCCAGGAAGAAGCTGGGAAAATATCAGGTGCCTTGGAAAATCCTTTGCAGGAAGCAGCGCCCACCAAAGGTGTACAGGAGGCCAGGCGGGTGCAGTGGAGGGGCCAGGCGGCCAGGTGATCCTGGACCTGGGACCCCGGAGCACCTGGGTGGGGGGGGATGAGGCGTTCAAAGGCCCTGGCGACAGCGCCACAGCATAGCCGCAGCAGCGTACCTGGGTTGATCTCCCGGTAAGTCCCGATCCCGTAGGCATCCACAATGTTCTGGAAGCCGGACGTGAACTTGTTGGTCCTGTTGTAGGTTGGTGGCGTCTGGTTCGTCTGCATCCTGTTCAGAATGGAGGGCACGGTGGAGCCACTGTGCTCCTGGGGAAGACAGCACACGCCGAGGTCAGGGCGCACACAAACAGGCCCTTTGTCCAAATCACCTCAACAAAACCAAAGGACAAAAGGTCATGGGTCATCTTTCCCAGGTTTTGGAAAAGCCACAAGGCATGACATTTACAATGTAAGATTTCGATTCAGTCTCGGGAAGTACAGTACATCATGACTGTGAAAAAATATTATCCTGAAGCCAGGAATAGCAGTGCATGCCCGTAGTCTAGCACTCAGGAGACTGAGGCAGGAGAATCACTCAAACCCACAAGTTTAAGACTCAAAAGTTGGAAAACTGTTTTGCTGGAATCAGCCCCAACCAAGGTGAGCTGGAGAAGGCTGGGTTGGGTGCAGCTACGAGGCCCAAGCACCGGAAACTGAAGCACAGAAAGAGTCTGTCTCAAAAAACTCTGAGCTGGGCTGGGGATTTAGCTCAGTGGTTCTGCTGCCTGCCTCACAAGTGCCAAGGTCCTGAGTTCGATTCCCGGTACCACAAAAAAAACCAAAGTCCTAGGCAGGCCCAGGATGTGCTGCTGCCCCTCACTTCCTGCCTTCTTGACACGTCCGGTCCTCAGAGGATGCATCCATGCCACTGCTTTTATTGGTTTTGGGGGGGGGGGGGGGGGGGGGTGCAGAGCTGGGCCGCATCCGTGCCAGGCAACACTCCAGCACAGAGGTGCACTTGGCGACACCCAGGACCACCTCCGTGGAGCCCCTCTGGTCGCTGGGCCCCATCTCCCACACTGGCTGGCAGGGACTTTGCATGCCGGCACATCGTCCCCTGAGCTGTGTGGTCATGGAGGTTGCTGCCTCCATCCTTGTCCCCCAGGGCCCTAGGCAGTGGCTGAGACAGCAGCCACTCAATGAACCACCACACAGAACAGCCACAGAGGGGGCTCATGGCCACGTAGGGCCCGAGCGCGTGGCCAGCTGCTCCCCTCGCTGGGCCACACTCCCCACAGGACACTGTGCCCCCTCGAGACCACTATGGGGACGCAGTAGAGACCGGGGACCGCAGCAACTGCTGCCCCTGCTGATGGGGCCTCGGCCCTGGCCACGGAGCCTGGGACTCACCGTGCCCCTCCGGAGCGCAAACTGGATAGAGTCCAGGTCGGTGACGGGGCACCAGACCTCGGCGATCAGGCACTTCTGGGTGACGTCGATGTTGCAGAGGTTCAGGGTGTGGTAGATGGCCTTCATCTTGCGCACCTTGATGAACCACACCCGGATGTTCTTGGCAGCGGCCTGCAGGACCCGCTGGCGGTGATCCTCAGTTTGGTTCAGAACCTTTCGGGGAGAGGGGCGGAAGCTGGGCCCTTCTACACCAGGTGCATCCTCGGGGTGCCCAAGTAGAGGTGCAGCCCTCTAAAAGGGGCTGCTGGGGGGCTTCTCCTGAGAGTAGACCTTTTTATTTTTTGGTCAAATTACAAGGAATATGGGCTCTAATTACTAATGTTCACTTTCACTTAGCTTCAAGCTACAGTGTTCAGAGATGGATTTTGGCTTCTCTCACCACACTCACTCTTTGCCCACCCAGGACCCAACAGAGGTGCCGCTCTTCCCTGCATGGGACTGGCCTTGGACAGCACCCTGCCGCGGCGGACGGGGAGGGAGGACCGCTGGGGAGGGGGACACTGAGCACCAGGAACACCACAGTCCCCGGGGCTGCGCGGCCACACCCACGCTGCCAGCAGAGGGAGGAGAGTGGTTCCTTCCTGCTGAGGCCCCAGCTGGGACAGAGCTGCTCTAGGCAGGCAGCGGGATTTCGCAGCCCAAGGCCATGGCATCAGCTCTCAGAGGCTGGAGCAGAAGGAAGCCTCCTACTCTCCATCTGCAGGAACTAGCCGGGGAGGCCCCCATGGTCCTGCAGGAGTAGCCACCCACGCCTCACCTTCCTCTCAGGGAAGAGGCTTCATACCACCCATGCTAAAGCTCCCAGCCTGGCCCAGACTGGAGCAGCAACGAGGCCCTGAAAAGCTGTCCTGCAAGACCACTTCAGAAAGGTTAGAAGCAAAGGCCAAGCCAGGCATGGCGGCACACGCCTGTCACCCCAGCACTCGGGAAGCTGAGGAAGGAGAGTCGCAGTCAGTTCAAGGCCAGCCTGGGCTACACAGTGAGTTCAAGGACAGTTTGAGCTATAGTGAGATCCTGTCTTAAAAAACCAAACAGGGGCCGGGGATTTAGCTCAGTGGTTTCGCTGCCTGCTGCGCAAGCGCAAGGACCTGAGTTTGATCCCCGGTACCAAAAAAAAACCAAAAAAAACAACCAAATAGATAAACAAGCAAACAAAAAAAAAATCAAAGGCCTTATGTGTCAGGGAAACTCGTGTCACCACAGGAGAGTCACTTCCTGTCATCTCGAGGTTACAGTCACCTCCTCAGGAAGGGTACTCAGTACATGTGCCACCGTGGTACACTCGCTTGTTTCTCCTCCTTACTCCCTGGTATTTAATCTCTTTTGAAAGACTCAGTTCCTACAGCTGGATTTTTAAAAAATCAAATGCCAGTTATTTTTAACGACCACACTGCGTGGTAACTCTGCCCTCAGCCTAAGGCACTAGCATCCCTCAGCCGCAAGGCACAGGCCAGGGTGGGAGCCAGGAGGGACCCTACTGCTGCCCGGAAGGGGCACCCCAGACCACGTGCCTGCTGCTCCTGCCCAAGGCACAATCATCACGTGCCATCCTTCCAAGGGCCTCGTCCTGCGGCCGCCCTTCCCTTCCTCCCTGATGGCTGTGCATGGACTGCACGTGCACACCACAGTCCCTGGCTGTCGGGCTGGCCCATGTGGCTGAGATCAAAGGTGACTTGCGGGTCTGGGGGCTGTGCAGGGCCCGCCTGGCGTGGTGCAGTGGGCAGGACTCGCCCTAGGGGACACGGCTTTCATTCACTTTGCCTAACTGAACACCTGGTTTTTTGTTTTTGTTTTTGTTTTTTGGTACCGGGGATCGAACTTGGGTCCTTGTGCTTGCGCAGCAGGCGGCGAAACCACTAAGCTAAATCCCCAGCCCGGAACACCTCTTTTTAAATAAATAGTATCTCTGCCACATGAGGTGGAGGAGAACTGAATGCACAACCCCGCCACGTTGCTCTTGGGGGATGAATGCGTTTGCAGCCGTCCTGCCCCAGATGCTTGCATACCATCTGCAGGTCATCGATCCTGGTATTGACTCCAGAAGCCATCTCCTTCCTCTCCTGTGGTGTCTCGGGACAGGGATAGAGCGAAGCCCGGAACCTGAAATGCACAGACATGGCCTGAGGAACACCCTTCCGTGTTGGTTGCTTTCTTATTTTTGGTGGTTGTGTTTTCTTTTTTTTGGTACCAGGGATCAAACTCAGGTCCTTGCGCTTGCGAGGCAGGTGGCGGCACCACTGAGCTAAATCCCCGGCCTGGTGGTTGTGTTTTTGAGGCAGGGTTTTTCTGTAGTCCAACCTGCCCTCGAATTTGCTACACAACCCAGGCTGACCTCAAATGTGTCATCCTCCTGCCTCAGCCTCCCAAGTGCCAGGATTACTGGAATGCAGTACCATGCCAAGCTTTAAGTTTCTTGACAGGTCCAACTTAAATAATCTCAGAAAATGACTCACTGAGCAGGACCTAAGCAAGGCTAGGTTAGACTGGCGTGCTCACACTATGCCTGTGGCGAGGCCTGCAAACAGAACAAGAACCTCTGGACTATCTCGACCTTCTCTGCAGCTATGAGATACCCTTGCAATCTCGCAGAAAAGGAAAAGAGGCTGCATTATAATTACTGAGAGTGAGGACATGGCCTTCGCAGCACAGCCCAGGCCCACGGCCGTGGAGTAGAGGGTGCGGGAGAGTTCCGAGAGGAGGGGCTCAGACCTTTTTCCTTCTCTGGGGTACACCTGATGAACCCAGGGGCACTCTCACTGAGCTGCACTCCCTGCCTTCTTTATGTTTCTGTTTGTTTTTCAGGCAGGGCCTTACTATGTACCCCAGGCTGGCCTCGAACTCACAATGATCCTCCTGCCTCAGCCGCCCAAGTGCTGGGATGACAGGTGCACCTCACCACGCCAGGGCTGGGCTACGTGTGGTGCTGCAGAATACACATTCACTACGGCCCCTCAGCTCTGGCTCCACAGCGAGTGGTCCAGGTGGGGCCCTAGGGGCGCTGGGGTCTCTTACCCCTCACAGATCTTCTTCACTCTGTTCTTCAGCTGATCACCTTGGAAGAAAATGATAAACACGGACTTGTGCACGTAGTCACCCTAGGCCCCAGAAGCAAAAAGCAGGGCTTCAGACCCCGGTCTGGAAAACACCCTCAGACAGTCTGTTCTGGGTGGTGAGGATGCGGCCACCTGCGCTGCAGGCACTTCACCCACTCCACTTCTGAAGCTGCAGGACAAGGACAAGCCTGCAATCTCTAGGGCACAAAGTCGGCTTTCAGACACGCCCAGGAGCTAAGGTTTTGTTTCTCTGAGTCTTACTTTCCAGCTTAACTTTACTTTACTTTATTTTATTGGTTTGGTTGAGACAGGGTCTCACTAGCTAGGTAGCCCAGGCTGGCTTTGAACTCCATGATCCTTCTGCCTCAGCCTCCCAAGTGCTGGGATGACAGACGTGGCCACATTGCCCAGCTTCCAGCTCAACTTTAAATCTTCTATTAGCTGCAGGATGAAGGCCACAGAGAAGAGGAGGAGGAAGCCTTTTCTGTCTGTCACTGGGCTTAGAAAGGCCCAGGTAAGGGCCAGAGAGCCACAAGGAACTGAGTCCCGGGAAGACTGTGACAGAGAACCCAGGATCTGCTAACTCAGACTGTGCAGTAGGAGAAGAGCGGCTCCAAAGGCCAAGTTCACACCCGGGGTACAAGCAAAGACCAGAAAGACCGGACAGAGCAAACGAGGGACAGTGTGCTGGCCCAGTTGTGTCTGGTGGCTGTAATTGCTCATATTCAAACAAAGGACATACGGCTTTATGAGAAGAAAACAGACACACACACCCTTAGAAGGGTAAAGGCTGGGAGTGAGGAATGTGAGACTCGGGACTCTCAGCCCTGGCCCTCCTGGCTATGCTGCAGGCCCTGCTACAGACCGGCCCTTTCCTGGGTCTGCTGCTAAGTCCGCCCCTCTGCGGCCAGAAGGAAGCTGGATCAATGGCCACAGAACCACTCTGCGTTGGGTGCGGCTATGGACACAGCGTTCCCACTGCCCTGACAGCCCAGCAAGGCTGCGAACTGCACTCCAAGTAAGGGGTTCACCTTCAGTGTCCCCGTGTCCCCCCATCCCCAGTGCACAGTCGCTGCCTTACCCCCCAATCTGAGGAGCCTTGCGATTCAATCTCTCTTCTTAGGTGGACAAGGAAGACTAATTTAAGAAAGTCACAAAACTCAAACTTTGGGATTCTAACAGTGCTAAGGTGACAGGGAAGTAAGTTTCTGCAGCACACTGAAGCTCTGCTTATAATTCCTGGATCAGAATGCGAGGCTGCTGCCGCTTTCCAGAGCGCGGGATGGGAGGGCCTCCTGTCTTGCAGAATAGCTATTCATGGATTCTGATTCTCCCAACAAACAAGGTGGCAATAAAATCTTACCAAGCAAACCATCAGCAGCTCATAAAGCCCAGGTTGGGAGGTGACTCCTCTTTTTTTTGAGACAAGGTCTCGCTATGTAGCCCAGGCTGGCTTCGAACTCATGGTGATCCTCCTGCCTCAGCCTCCAGAGTGCTGGCATTACAGATGTGCGCCACCATACCCGGCAGTCACTCCTCTTTTTTCACGTGACTATTATCACACGTGGAACCTGATGTCTTTTTTTTTTTTTTTGGTACGGGGGAACGAACTCGGGTCCTTGCGCTTCCGAGGCAGGCGGCAAAACCACTGAGCTAAATCCCCGGCCCTGGAACCTGCTGTCTTGCTCTAAGTTAATTTTCTTTTTGTCTTTGTTTTTGTTTTTTTTGGTACTGGGGATTGAACTCGGGTCCTTGCGCTTGCCCAGCAGGCGGCAAAACCACTGAGCTAAATCCCTGGCCCTGGAACCTAATGCCTTGCTCTAAGTTAATTTTCATGAGAAGCAATTTTTCCTTCAGTTCCAAATTAGTTAGAGAAAGCTTAAGCTAAAGTGTTACGTAACTGGAAAACCCCTTATTTCCAATCCAAACATGACCCACTGAGGTGAAGCTGAAAATTCATCCAGGCCGTGCGCACTGGACGCGATGTCGAGGGGCAGGGCAGCCTTCCGTCCTCCCCCAGGGGGCAGGAAGGCGGTAGTGGAAGTGGATGCCGCTGGTGCCTCGCAGGGTCCTGGGCTAGGGTCCCTCTGTAAGGCCTACTTGTGGGGGCGCAATGTCCTTGTCTTACAGTCACAGGGTCCTCCAGGGGGTTCTCAATCTCAGCCTGTCGCAGGAACACGTTCCCTCGGCACACACGCCACAGCATGCGTTCAAAGGTGGGGATGCGCTCCCGGTTAATCACGCCAGCCACGAATCTACAGGAGAAGAGCAGGTTGGGAGCTCGGGCAGGGTCCGGACACAGGAGAAGAGAGGAGAAGGGGCCACTGTCCACACAGGCCACGCATCATCATGGCCAAGAGCTGCCAGACAGCGCAGGACACTGCCCTGAAGCCATCGAGCCCCTGGCCTTGCTGCCCCGTGCGGCACTGGACCAGACTGTAGCACGCGAGCCCCAGGCCGGCTTACCCGAGCCGCAGCGGTGTGCCTCTCCCCATCTCGCTGGGCTCCAGGAGCGATGAGGACTCTTCCAACAGGTCTGGATCCGCCATCTGCTGATGATGCAATTCAGCCTGAATTCACAAATCAATTAATATCTAATGAAAATAGTTAGTGGCATGCAGGGAACGAGGAACCAGGAGATAGGTTCGGAAAAGATAGATGGAAAAAAACGAAAGCAAACCACTGAAAGCCAAGATATACCCACAGAGAGAAGACAGGAAGAGCGGGGGAAGGAAACGAAGGCGGAAAGACAAGGGAAAGAAAGCGTTAAGTGCACCAGCGAAGCGTGTGGAAGAGTGGCTCGGAAATACGGAGAAAACACAGGAAGTGATGGGAGGCGGAGAAAGCTGCTCCCAGTGGAAGCCGTTCTCTCCCGTTCCTGAGTGAACCGTGAGCACATGGAGCGCTCTCCTGCACGCAGACAGGAAGCTGCTACAAAGCAGGCCTCGAGTCTCCCTGGAGAGCCCAGGGCGCCGTCACTGCACGCTGGGGGACAGGAGGATGAGGGGCCGCTCTAGGGACCCGGGTCTCCCGGCCACAGAAACTCAGGACACAAGAACTTTGCCCACGGCCGCGGGGGAGGCTGGCCGGCACGGTGGGACTGAGAGTGCAGCCCCTCCTCCCTCAGCGGAAGGAGCACAGCAGCCAGCGCCTTGCGCCTCGCTGCGTCCGTCCGTGCAGGAAGACCAGCGAAAGCGTGCCTGAATGGCCTACTTTCCGGTAGGAGTCTGGAAGGATTTCTAACCTGTCTGCAGCCTTTACAGCGGAAGGGCTCCTGAGAACAGAGCTCCAGAACCAGCGGAGCAGGAAAAGCAGCAGATGATCAACGTCCAGAGCGGGCTGGCCTGACCGGAGGGGTCGGAACGGTTTCCACTGGGACGGTTCACAGACCGCAGCACGGAGGAGGGGCACATGGAGGCCTCGGCGCCGCTCTATCCTGCCAGACCAAACCCAGTCCGCTTCTCTGCTGCCTGGCTCCCCAGTTTAACTGTCCACGTGCCCAAAGACCATGAAAAACCTGCCTTCTCAAAAGCAAAACTGAACAGAGGTCAGAAAACCTTTTTCTCTATCATTTTCATTCCAAATTCCAATTTGAATCTATTCCTGTCAACCACATTGTCAAAAAAATGCCACAGGAGGGCCTCACTGATCATCACCGGACCAGACCTGCATCAGCCAGGGCGAAGCTGGTAACCAGCGAGGGCTCGAGGCCCGAGAGAGGGAAAGCTACTGGTTTGGAAGTGAGAATCAGGCTGCTCCAAAGGAGTGAAAACAGGCCCGGGGATTTAGCTCAGTGGTTCCACCACCTGCCTTGCAAGTCCAAGGTCCCCAGTTCAATTCCCAGTACCAAAAAAAAAGTAAGAAGCCCAGAGAAACTGTGGCCAGGACTGGCAGGCTCATCGTGCCGTCACTATGACAGCGGTTACACCTGCCCCCCCCCACCCGCCCAGCACAATAGGGCTCTTCTGGATTCTCCTTCCGCTCAGCTAGCTGCAGCAGCCAGCTCTGTGGACCAGATGACCACCTCATCTCAGCAAGCAGAGTGGGACCAGTGGACCCTGTCCTACCCGCCCAAGCAGCCTACAGGCCCTGGCTCCGCCAACCTCAACATCATGCTCAACACTGGCCTAATGGAGGTGCCCTGAGGGCACTGCGGAGGGATGGGGGCAGCACCCACAGCCAGACAGCTCCAAGGCTGTCTCACAAGGACTCCAAGGACTCTCACAGTTACAAGCTGCAGACTTAACATCAAGCAATATCCTAACTACGCACTACTGATTCCACTGCTTCACATTTAAGAATCCCAGTATAAGAGAGGAAAGCTGAAAAATGGTAGCTAGTGCCTAATGGAGACTCGGTGCCCGGAGCTGCCCGCCAAGGCCTTCAGAGCAGCACCTGACTGCATACTCATCTGACCCTAACCACTCGGTGGACACCAAGCGCCAAACCTGCTGAGGGAAGCACAGCAGTGCTCGTGTCCAGGTCCAAGCCCCAGGCCCGTCAGGCAACAGTGCCCACCTGCACCTGCACCTGCACCAAGAGGGAGACCATTCACCACCACAGCGTGCACCTGGCCCAAAGGACATGGCTGATGGGAAAGAAAAGATAGAAAGCAGATGGATGGAAAACTCAGAAGGAAAGGAAGGCAGGGGTCTGCATGCCATTAACCATTACTTTTCCAGTCTTCTTTATGCTTTCATGTCATGGTGCTTATGGAAAAGATGCAGAGAAATCTCTCCAGCTCTGACAGCTCTTCATAAGCAAGAAGACTGAGAAAAGGGCAATCATTAACAAGTCATCTTAAGTGCTCAGATAAGAAGGGCTATGCTGAATCTGCAATCAGCTAAATCATGAGACTATGCAATACCTGTCTCCTTTTCCCCTGCGGATCACAACCCCATGCCTAAGTATGGAATCATGTTCCCATTTACCCATTTCCTGCTTGCTCATTACTGTAGATTATTGATTACATTCACCAAAGCGTAAAAAAGACCAGCAGTTTAAAATCGGTAGCGTGTAAGGCTGTTTGCAAACATTACAATTGCAGGCATCGAAGAAATTCTCATGAAAAACTCTTGTTTTTGACACTGAGGGTCCCGAGTCTGCTCACGTCTCACACTGTTCACATGCGCACTTGCACACGTGTGGCCCTGTGAGGCCTGGGCTCTGGCCGTGCCGTTAGGCAGCACAGCGGTGCAGGGGTGCGATGGTGGCAAGAACGGGCAAGGCTGCAGCTGGAGGCTGGGAACGAGACGGGGAACAAAGGCACAACCTGGCCTCGTGCTCCCAAGGCTTCCCGAGATTGGACGAGACTTGGCATTTACTGTTCAGGCTCAGTAATCACAAAATGAAACCCCTAAACCCCTAACTCGGGATTTGAAAATTATGTCTCATCTTTGTAAGTGGTTCCTCTTATTTTATTTTTAGTTTCATCTTAGAAAATCAGGGGCTTGTTTTGTTCTTGTATTATCTATTTTGATGTGGGGGATTGAACCCCAGGCCTCCTTTATGCCAAGCATGAATAGTTTACTTTTATTTATTTATTTATTTTTTGGTACTGGGGATCGAACTTGGGTCCTTCCGCTTGCGCGGCAGGCGTGGAAACCACTGAGCTAAATCCCGAGCCCAGCATGAATAATTTCAATAACCATTTCCCTTCGGGGGTCCCTGTGTGGTCTGTCCTCAGAATCTCTCAGTAGGACCACAGCAGGGCGCCTACTCCAACCTCACAGCCTTCGGTCACAAGGACATTCTCAAGGTCACACTAGTACAATAAAGGGCACTGGAAAGGCAGCCAGGACACCTGAAGGGCCGAGAACTGAGCTCCAGGCAATGCTGAGCCTCGCTCTGGGCACAAGGCCTGGTGAGCAGCACTGTGGGCAGGGGCGGGGAGCATTCAGAGAGGCAGGGCCTGGGCTGGGGACGCACCTCAGGGGGGCATGTGCTCACCTGCTCCAGGGCCCGGGTCACGCCCAGCACCGCAAAAGAAAGCAAAGCGGAGCACACATCTTCGAGCACCAGGAGCACCGTGCCCAGGATGGTTCCTGAAGAACCCAGGTCCTGGGCCTCGCAACTTGTGCCTCATCAAGAACAGGCTTTATTCTTGGGAAACAGTGATCACGAGCACCATGGTGTTGGGGCGGTGAGCAGACTGGGGCTCCGCACTCTGTGTTAGAACCACGTGGCCCACACGCCTCGGCCTGCAGCAAACAGCCTTAAACAGCCGGAGAGAGAGCACCACTGCCTGTCCAACATTCCCCACTGCTGTGCAGACTGCAGGTTCCCATCGCCCCACTGCTGCCCAGGCAACTGGGGCGGGGCCTGGGCTCCCTCTGCAGAGCCACTGTCTGGCTTGGCTTCTCCAGGTGGGTCCTTGGAGCTGAGGGGCGTGGAACCCGCAGCACAGTGTCCCGGACTAGCAGTTTCAATCAAGCAGGCCTCAGCTGCATCTTGTTCAAAGCAGGCGGCTGCCCGGCCCCCATGGGGTGCCTGATTCAGAGGTCTGGGCTGGGCCCTAATTGGGGGTTCGGCCTCCATCCCAGGTGAGGCCCCTCCCTCGGGTTAGAAATCTCTGCTCTGGCTGGAGAACTACAGAGACCTGGTCTCTTCTCAAGGGCAGAAAACAAAATCAAAACTGAGAGCATCAGAGGTCAACTCAGAGTCCCACCAGCCATTTCTAACACTTGGCCTCAAGTCTGTTTCTGTTGTTGAGCAAATAAAATAAAAATCTCTACGGGAGGCTCGAGGAAGAGTGACAGCTAAGAGCTGTCCTGTAAACTCGAACGTAGCCAGCCTGGGGGCGAAGACCCGTGAAGAGCAGGCCGCCCAGCTTCTAGGCCTTGGTGGGGGACACAGGCTGAAAGGTGCAGCTCCGATATAGTGAGGAGGGGCCTCTCCGTGGGGCCTTCGAGGTGCGCTGTCACCCGGCCCCTCCAACACCCACCTCCTTAGTCCCAGCTCACCCGCAATCCCTCGGAGAACGAAAGCAGAATCTGAGTCAGGTCAAAAGGTTTGTGGATGAAGTCTTTGTTACAATTCTGTGTATAACCGGGTGTTGGTTTCTTCAACTTTAACCCTAAGCATATACTTACCTTATAATGTTTATTTTATATAAATGTAACGTAAAAATTTCAGCTATGTTTACACAATGACTTTAGGGTTCCTTTCCCCATGTTGAGATGAAAAATTGTGGAAAATGTGAAAAAATACAAAACCATGGCTGACTGTGTATTGCGTGAAACATGGAACATAATCTGACTTTTTTCAACGAAAACGGAGTGCAAAAATGGTACTGCTTCCAAACTAGCAAAATAAAATAGTTACTGGAATAAAAATATGGCCCACTTGTGCAGGTATAGTATCAGCTGCTCGAATGCTAAAAGAAACAATAGGCTGACCTCATCAAAAAACTGCTGAGTTTTTCGAAGAATGAATTTGAGTTCAGTCAGTTCCAGGAAGTTTCTCTTCAGGGCTTCCTGGTTTGTGTTGATTTCTTTCAGCTCATTTTCAATCTTCTCAAAATTGGCCTAAAGAAAATATCGAAACTCAGGCTCAGAACACTCACTCCGAAAGATGTCACCCATGAACGGCAGTCATCCTGAAAGGTCAGTCACTGCAGCCACCCCACAACTGCTGTGACTTTACCAGAGCAGTTTTCTTTTTTTTGTACTGGGGATGGAACTCGGGTCCTTGCACTTGTGAGGCAGACGGCAGAACCACTGAACTAAATCCCCCTGAGCAATTTTCTTTATACAGTTTTTCGGCTTAATAATAGTCTTTCTTGGGCCGGGATTTAGCTCAGTGGTTTCGCCGCCTGCTGCGCAAGCACAACGACCCAAGTTCGATGCCCGGTACCAAAAAAAAAAAAAAAATAATAATAGTCTTTCTTTGTCTATGGATTCTATGGTACACTCTGTAAATTTCACCAGGGATTTCAGATGGATAAAATAGTACCAAAAGCCAGTGGCGCATATGTGTAATCCCAGCTCTCTGGGTGGCTGAGGCAGGAGGATTGCAAATTCAAGCCCAGACTGAGCAACTTAGTGACTCAGCAAGGCCCTGTCTCAAAATATTAAAAAAGCTGGGGATGTGGCTCAGGGAAAATCCCATGAGTTCAATCTGCAGTACTACAAAAAAAAAAAAGAGCCCAGTGACAATTCCCTTAGTCCTTGAGACTAACAGACTACTGGATAAGTCAAAGGAGTCCAGGCAGGGCTCCTTTACTTAGAAGACAGGATACTGCTTGAGATACTGTTTGGTGCCGCAAAGAGGGAACACACTCCAATCCCAGCACTTGGAGGTTAGCAAGGCTGGCTCCACTCCCCACCCACCCAAGAATGTGGCCTCTGCATTTCTGTGGGAGAAACCGACCCAGCTTTCCAGACTTGTTTACCTCCAGGTCGATCATGTCCCGGGGGAAGGGCACCTCTGGGTTTTCACCAGTGTCCATAATCGGGATGTTGGCTTTTCTTATCTCTTTCTCAACAAACCCTAAAACGATCGAAGCAGAACATTCAGGGCTAGCTGTACGTGCCTGGAATCACTATTATTTGAGGGGAAAAAAAGAAAGACCCAAAACCTAGCTCTACAGTTTCATTCGAGTGGGGCCTGGTGGCAGACACCTGTAACGCCAGCACTAGGGGGGCCGAGCCATCGGGATTCCGAGTCCAGGCTCAGCCTGGGCAAGTCAGCACCTCAGCCAGAGCCACATTCAGGGAGGGGACACAGCTCAGCGTGAGGCCCTGGCCCAGCCTCTAGTACTGCAATGTAGAAGAAAAGCCTTCATCCTAAGAACGAAGGGACTTTCCTAGAAGAGCAGCAGCCTTTTCTCCACATCCTCATGGTGCCCCCCACACTCTCAAGCGAGCCTGAAGCAGAGGATCCGCCACCACGGCCCTCTTTCCCTTTCAGACGAAGCTGGCCAGCACACAGCACTGGGGAAAGAGCTCCAGATCCCCGGGCCTCTTTCCACCCGCACGCAGCCAGGCAGCAGTTTCTGTGTGGGGTTCTGGGTGCTGGGGATGGAGCCCAAGGCCTCCTGTGTGCCAGGCCAGGGCTCTATCCAGCCCCTTGGGCTAGTTTAAAGTCTAGAAAATAAGAACTATGAAGTAGAGTATGGGATAAGGACTCAAATCACCAGAAAAGTATTTTGGGTGGCAAATGCTGACTGACTTCTTTTAGAGTGGGGCGCAGCTCTCCTATCAGTTAGCTAACTGGAAGCTGGCTCAGTACAGCGGCAAGACAGTGGGGCTCGGGGCCAGCCAGCACCGCCGCAAACGAGGGGCCCGTCACGGCTGCTTACATTCCTGGTAAGTCACTAAAACACGCTGATTTTTAGACTCTCAACTGTTAAATGAGTAGCACCCATGTGAAGGAATGGTATGGAAAAGAAAAAAACATTCATATATTCATTCATTCATTGCTAAGTACCCCAGCCCTGAACAGGACTTCCTTTATCATAGCTCAAATAGAAATGTGGCTATAGCCAGGCATGGTGGCACAGGCCTGTAATCCTAGCACTCAGGAAGCTGAGGCAGGAGGATCACAAGTTCCAGCCCTGCCTGGGCAAGTTAGCATGAACCTGTCTTTAAATAAAAACTAAAAAAGGGTTGGGGGTATAGCTCAGTGGTAAACCACCCCTTGGTTCCATCCCCAGTACAGAAAAAAAAAGTGGTTCTGCTGACATGTACAATTGATGTTGCTTTGAGTCAATTCGTCAGAACTCTGTAAAGCAGTTCTACGACCACAGTGCTGTCAGCTCGAAGCCTGTTGTTTAGCAAGGTTCCCACAAAGCACCACCTCGTCCAGACACCACAAGATCTACTTGGGGGCACAAACCCATCCTTAACATCACGACTGCAGAGCTTTCCTTCCTCTTCACTTGCAGTATTTTCCTCTCACACCAAGAGAACACTGTCTCCCCTGAGACAAATGAGGCCCCACAGGAGGAACATCACACAAGACCAAAATGCACATACGAAGCTTTCGATCCATTTCTTCACATCTTCGGACTTCATTCACAAATTTCCGCTGGAAAACATTCACATCTGGATTTAGCTGAAAAATAAGAACATAGGGACCGGGGATTTAGCTCAGTGGTGCCACCCCCTGCCTCACAAGCACAAGGTCCTGAGTTAGATCCCTGGTACCAAAAAAAAAAAAAAAACACAGTACAAACCTGCAAATCCTGCATGTACTTCCTGTTTCACAAGCAACACATCTTACAAGGTGAAAACCTCCCTTTGGGTCAACGTGCAATGCAACACTCATCAAAACTATCCACTGGTCCCTAGAAATGGCTCTGTGACCACCCCCAGGCCAGGCCCCTGCTGTGGGGCATGGCACCTGGGAAAGCCAAATCTGCACCTCCTGGAGCCTGGCACAGCTGCAGCAGCTCTGTCTGACAAGCTGAGGGGACAGAAGGCGAACTCCCCTCACGTGTGGCCCCGGCCTCAGTGGCTACTGCTTTGTTCACTCACACACCACACGCAATTTTCAAAGCAAGGGGACAGACTTTCTGGGATACACAAATAAAATGGGGAAGCTTGCTCTCTAATAGCAAAAAAGATGGAAACACAACCAGTAGACAGCATATGACAAACTTCATAACAGTCACGCAAGTGAAGAGCTATTGTTACCCAGCACCACATGTGTGCCAGACAGTGTACTAGGCTCTGAGAAAATACCAAGCATCAGCTTTGTCCCAGCTTGGAGACGGTGAACACCACGATCAATGAGCTTAAGCACACATGGATGTGTGCACGTCATATATGCACTGTATTATGCTACACAGTTTATCACATGCTGGCTCTTTGGTTACATGTATCTCATATGCACACATGTGTACATACACAAATGTTATAATCATAACTACCCGTGTATATACAGATGACACATAAAATAACCGTGTGACACATGTGTACATTATATACACACATATATGTATATATGTACATATATATTCCTGTATTCAATGGTTCTGTCTTCTAAAACTCGGTATGTTGATATTAGACAGATGGGATCTAAGGTAAAAAAGCAAGATTAGTAATTAAGAGAACCACTAAAAATAAGCCACACCCTGGTATTCAGCTCCATGGACAGACACAAAGCAGGAATTACAATCTGTTGTGAAAAATGGTGTTAAAAAGTAAGTGAAATCATTACGTTGTCAAACAACTAACACTAAACCTGCGTGCTACAGTTCAGTAATACTTCCTAATCATTAAAATAGGCTTCCTGAGAGCTCTAAAAAAACCTTGGGGGGCTGTGGATTTACTTCAGTGGTTTCGCCGCCTACTGCACAAGTGCAAGGACCCAAGTTCGATCGTAACAACAACAACAAAAAAAACCCAAACAGTTTTGGTTTTTTTTGGTACGGGGGATGGAACTCGGGTCCTTGCGCTTGCACAGCAGGCAACGAAACCACTGAGCTAAATCCCCAGCCCCAAACAATTTTTTTTTTTTTAAAGTAAGTAAAATCAGCTGGGGATTTAGCTCAGTGGTACCGCACCTACCTCTCAAGTGTAAGGTCCTGAGTTCCATCCCCAGTATCACAAAAAAAAAAAGCAAGTAAAATCAATCCTTAGCACCAGAAAAAAAAAGTAGACAAAAGATTTGGAAACCACTGGCAGTGTGGTGTGGAGTTGAACCCGCACCTGCCCACGGACTGAGCAAGCGCCCAATTTGGCATCTGCTTAGGAGCAGTGGAAACGCTGGTGTGAAGACACAGCCACGTCCCAGGAGCCACACTCTCGGAGCCCTGAGCAGGACCCGAGACGTCACAGTCGTCAGGAAAAGGCCAAGTGAAGGCACACAGCCACCTCACTCACACTTGTAAAACAGCTGTGTTACAGACGAGGCTGAGCGCTGTGCAGGATGCCTGTACTCTGCTGGTGGCGACAGGAGCCAGAGCAACTGCCACTACAGATCAGGGTATGCGCTCGCCCCACATGCACCAGGCCCTGGCTCCTTCCCGGGAACAGCCCAGACAGAAACACAGACACAAACACTAGGAGCTGAGTGACCGTGTGATCCAGCCAGCTACCTTCCAGGTATAAAATATCCAGGGGAACTGAAACCAGCATCAAAAGCAAATTGCCACCGTGTCTGCTCCAGCATCACCAGAGCTAAGATGCAGGTCCGTGGTGAGGGGCCGGCAGGCCGGCCTGGGTGGGGCGAGTTCTGGGCCAAAGAGCAGGAATGTCACCTGTCCTGGTGGAGGGTGTGGGTTTGGGAGTCATCATGAAGGGGCCTGGCTTTGAGGCCCAAACTGGGAACCTAGAGGTGGAGAAGCTGCAGGCTGAGGGTCTGTCTGCGGGGAGGGAAAGACTTCGAGAGCTCCGAGATGGGCGGGGTGGCCCAAGGTGGGGGACGTGGAGCCCGGTGCTGAACGGAAGGTCAGGTCGCCACATGGAGGAGGACAGTCTCGGGAGGGGCTGCAGGTGGAGACTGCCCCCACAGCCTGGAGGGATGACTGTCAGGACAGCTGAGTGGCCCAAGCCCGGGTCCATGCCAATGAAGGCAGAAAGGTCCTGGGAATCAGGGTGAAGGCGAGGGAGAGAGTGAGGCCGAGAAGGGCAGAGTGTGTGGAGGGCAAGAGGATCTGGAGCTGAGAACGAAGCCCGATCCCAGGAGGGGGCGGATGACAGAGCAACTGAAGGGTGCTGTCCTAGCAAGGGCTGCCGAGGCTGAAAATGCAACTGCGGGTCCCGAGGAGTAAGCAGGCCTGCGCCAGGAGACAAGAAAGATGGATTCCCCTTCATCAGAGGTTACCCTCGGCTCTGCACCGCATGCTGGGGCGCAGGAGCCACGGCCCTGGTAACACTCAGCTTGAAGAGCCAGTCCCGTTGGGCTGGATAGCACCAGGAGGCCGTAGTGGGCAGGAACCTAGAAGGGGGATGCTGTTTCTAGCTTCAGTGTTCGGAGGAATCTCCATGCTGGTTTCCATAGTGGCTATACCAGTTTAAGTTCCCACCTACAATTTCTCCCCTGCAGCCTCTCCAGCATTCATTTTGATTTGATTTTTGTTTGTTTGGTTTTGGTACCAGGGATCAAACTTGGGACCTTGCACTTTCAAGGTAGGCGTCGGAAACCACTGAGCTAAATCCCCAGCCCCATGATTTGATTTCTTGATGATAGCCATTCTTTCTGGAGTAAGATAGAACCTCGGTGGTTTTAATTTGCATTTCTCTAATGGCCAGTGATGTTGAACATTTTTTTCATGTAATTATTGGCCATTTATACTTCTTCTGAGAAGTGTCAATTCACTTCAGTTGCCCATTTTGTTTTGTTTTATGACAGGGTCTCGCTGTGTTTTCCAGGCTGCCTCAAACTCACAGTGATCCTCCTGCCTCAGCCTCCCAAGAGCTGAGATTATAGGTGTCTGGCTACCAGTTCCCCATTTTTTGATGGGATCTTTTATTTGGGAGGGGGTCTGATTTTTTTGAGTTCTTTGTATATTCCAGATATTAGTCCTCTAAGGAATACCTAGCCAAATTTTTTCTCATTCTGTAGGCTGTCTCTTCACTCTGTTGTTTCTTTGGCTATACAGAAGCTTTTTAATTTGATGCAACCCCCTTGTTGATTCTTGACATTATTCTTGTACAACTGAGGTTCTGTTCAGAAACACCTTGCCTATGCCTATGTCTTCAACAGTTTTACCTGTTTTATCTTCCAGCAGATTCAGTGTTTCTGTCTCAATATTTAGATCTTTGATCCATTCTGATTTTTTTTTTTTTTTTTTTTTTTTGGTACCAAGGATTGAACTCGGGACCTAGCACTTTTGAGGCAGGCGCTGGAACCACTGAGCTAAATCCCTGGCCATTCTGATTTTAGTTTAGTACATCATGAGAGACACGGGTTCAGTCTTCTACATGTGGATGGCCAGCTTCCCCTGCACCATTTGTTAGTACAGAGGCTAACTTTCCTTCAGCATATATTTTTGGCCCCTTTGTCATAGATCAGATGGCAGAATATGCCTGGAGTTGTTCTGCATCCTCTATTTCAGTGCTGGCAGACCTACAGCACAAGTGCCACAGTAGGCTGTTTGTAGCACTGAAAGCCCTAGAACGTTCGTCATCACTGCTCTGTCCTGTTCCACTGATCTGCATGTCTGTTTTTGTGCCAATACCATGCTGTTTTGATCACAATACTTTGTAATACAACTTCAAATCCAGCACTATGGTGGCTCCTGCTTTGCTCTTGCTGCTCAGGATTGTTTTGCTACTCTGAGTCTCTTCTGGTTTCAAATGAATTTTATGATGCTTTTTTCTAGTTCTAGGAATGCTATTGGTAGACTGGGATTGTTGTATTAAATCTATGTATCAGATCTGGTAATATGACCTTTCTGACAGTATTGGTCCTGCCTATCCAGGAACAGGGGATATCTTTCCATTTTCTTTTTTCTTTCTTTTTTTTTTAAGACAGGATCTCACTATGTGGTTCAGAGGTAGCCTTGAACTCACTAGGTAACCCAGGATGGCCTTGAACTCATGATCCTTCTGCCTCAGCCTCTCAAGTGCTGGGATTACAGGTGTGTGACACCACATCCTGCTTTTTTCCATTTTCTTTTTGTTTTTTATTTTTCTCTTTTTTTTCTTTCCATTTTCTGGTGTACTCTTTGATCTCCCTTTTTAGACTACTATAATTTTCATTATAGAAGTCTTTCACTTCATTAGGTTAATTCCTAGGTATTTTTCTCTTTTTTTGTACTGGGGATCAAACTCAGAATCTTGTGCTTGCAAGGAAGGCGTGGTGCTGCTGAGCTAAATCTCTGGCCCCTTAGGTATTTTTTCTTGAAGCTATTGTGAATGGTATTATTTTCCTAATTTCTTTCTCAGTGAATTCATTATTGGTGTACAAGAATGCTATTAATTTTTGTGTGTTGATTTTGTATCCTTTTACATTACTGAATTGGGTTATTAATTCTAAAAGTCTTTTGGTGGAATTTTCTGGGTCTTATGTAAAGAATCATGTCATCTATAATTAATGATAATTTGATACCTTCCTTTCCTAAACGCATCCCTTTTCTTTCTCTTGCTTGATTGCTCTGGCTAAGT